TCCCCGCCTCGCCTGAAGATCTGAAGATTCCCGTGCCTCCGGCCAGTTCGTTTCCCAATTCAAGGCTTGAGCGGTCTATGGACCGAAACTACCGCTCTAAAGGGCGGTTAGGATTCAGTGGACTCCGCACTCCTCGTGGCGACCGGAGCAGATCTCGTACGTCGAGACGTTGTCCTAAAACCCTTGGGAGCTGATTCTGGGTTTGGCATGGCGGATACCTCATTCGATCGCTAACCGGCAGCAAGATTGATTTTGTATGCTATCTGCGTTTGTACCGCGCGCAATATCTCATCTTGTGGCGGCAGGGCGTAAGCCCAGTGTTATCTCACGGTTTGAAGTTTGACGCCTTCTGCTCCGGTTTCTCGTCGATCATTGAGTTCCGGGCAAGGATGCCAGTCAGCTGCCATTCTTTGTGTTGGTTGCAACAACTGGTTGCGCAGCCACATATCTCCAGCGTTAACATCTTCTTTGTTACCACGTGCCCCGGGTTCCTCATTGTTTGATGACGATGGTGTTCGTTCGGGTTTTATCTTCTTCGCCATGACGTGACGAAGCACCATGCTTCACTCAACGCAAGAGCAGCAAACCGCTGGCATATCGGGCAAGGCCGGAGCTGCAATCGTACAACCCGGAAATAAGGTTGTTGGCTGAACTCGCAGGCGATTGGAAGTTGATGGATGTGGCGATATATCAGTCAGTTCGCGGGCTTGCCGAATGTGATGGGCGGCCATACCACCATTATCGAAATTAACTACCGCGACCGCCATCTCCCGACGGACGTTGGAAAAGGTAAAAATCAGCCAGTAGCGGGCGGGAGGCTGGTAAGATCGCTCGCCATCGATAAGCCCATTCTACGATATCACGACTGCCGTAAAACTCGCCTCCACCATAATCCTAAGCGCGATCGTTGGGGACGTGCAAAATGCGGTGTACCATGCCGTCTGTTGTTATAGTTCTTCAGTTTCACGGAAGCCTTCCGAGACACGGTTGATCTCCAGTCAGAGTGCTCTTCAGGCGGATAACAACATTTATAACAGGAGCCTCAGTACTGCTGCTGATGCTCAATTATCAGCGCAATGTTTTGGAGCTGTGATATTGGACGCTCCGCGAAAATTATGCCTGTGGTGACAAATAGAGTCGCGTCAATGATTTACCACCATATAAGGATAAGTCTCGCCACGGTTTGGTGTTCTTTGATCAAAATTTTCAAACGTTACTGACTCCAGCTACAAATAATCCTCTTGAAGGCCCGAGATCCATAAACCGATTGTAACCCGGAGCAGTATCGATACGGCACAGAGCTTTAACATTCAGACGATTTCAGTTGTGGAAGTCGTTGTGACATTGTTTAGTCGATGGTCTTCATGCAAACATAATTCTTAATATTTGTTTGATATCGAAGTATGCTCAGAACTTTACGTTTTCGCTGTAGCATTTTACAGTGCAGTCTTTTACCCAAGTGTCAATAGCCGTTTCGTCAAACAATTTACCTTACAATGCGAGCGGACAGTGCTCTGGTTCACAGAATAAAGCAATTGGTCTGCAGCACACTCGTGATCAAGACTATGTTATGATCACTAAGATTGTGTCAGAGTGAGCAAAATCTTTACGTTGATGTGACAGGTGAATATGCTGGTTTGGTACGGGCTGCTCTCCCTTCTCGACTGCGGTGAAGCGACTTGCGAAGTATGATCTCCCTCAGTTCGCCGGAAGCGATGTGGTCCAGCAGTCCGATGTGAAATCAATGGCAATCCGCTGATATGTCTGATGCGGACAGTTCTGTCCAGTATACCGCGAGTGAGGAAAGAGCGGAAAGATTCTTTTAAAGTTCTGACCGTTCAGCGGCTGATGACTTCAGTCGGACTTTGTTGGTAACAACTGATCATAATCTGGCCGCCCAGTGACGGAAGTCTGGCGACGACCGAAGAACTGATTAAATTCATCTGACGCGATCATAATAATTTATGAAGCTGTGTATTCTTATGGTGTGATCGATTATCACCATTAAGCATTAACAGATAACATTTCGCGTGATTCTATACAGTTGTGGTTCATGATTTGGCTGCATTATTTGCAGCCGGGATACCGACGTTTATCATTTGATTGAAGAAACTATTGCGGGTTGTGTGAAACTAAATGACCAGAACTGCCGTGGCCATTCACGCTGGCGACGATGGAGCAATGCCGATAAGGCAGGTCGATACCACGGTCGCCGTTGAAACAGGATGACTGTTGAAGAAATGCGGGAACCAATGGGCGCGCATCTACCATCCATCATGCTGACTCAGCAACGCTCGGACAACCTCTGGTTGCCGTGGCGGGCGGAAGCTTCCTCCAGCCTTCAAATTTCCAACGGTGCGGTGATCGTTATCTTTGCCAGCGCATCATCATCGTTGCATTGATGTATGTGATCCATCTCGGGCTGGCGGTCAGCCATCTCTGCGCCTGTGCGTCACCGACTCGACCGCCGGCGGCCATCAGTTTATTTGATATCGGACGATATGTCGGCCGTCTTGCCGGTGACGGTTGCTTTCATTCAATGCGTTCACAATCAAAGGTGCATCGGATGATTAAACAGCGCTGACCGCATACTGGCACGCTCTTATGTGGCGTATCAATCAATGGATCTGTAAAGCGTGATGGCGCGACTGCAGAACTGCGTCGCTGTGCAGCGTAAAGGTGCGCTCATGCGGTGCGCATTCACACTATAAACCCAACTGTGCCGCGGTGAAGGTAACGCGCCGATATCTGTCGCGCAATTTTGTATCGTTGTCATCGGGAAGCGCCTTTACGTCCGGAAGCATCGTTGCGCTGCAACAAAGCCGGATGATGGTTTTCGATTATCATGGAGGCCCGTGCCAGCGGCACCGATGTGGATAACAGGACTCACTTTGAGCTTGCTGTGGCTAGCGAAGATATCTGCTCATATACGCCATCTCGCATACTTCCTCATGATCTCAATGTATATAGACGGATACAGGTACTAGCTCTGTCGGCTTTATAGTAATAAAAGAAAGTCAAATAATCACTCTCTGGAACCCATCGCCCTTCTCTTTTGTCTTTAATGCTTTGCCGTTTCATAAGTAATGCCAGTACGCCTGCGGCGTAAGTGATATTTGCTTAAAAGTTATATATTATTTAACAGGAGGAAGTTAACCATTGCCGAGTGAAGTTCAACAGTATGAAAGCTTAGGATTCGAACAACTTCCAGGGATGAAAGTTTGTTTGATCAAAGGAAGATCATTTCTGAAAGATCTGTGCTGACGGGTCAAGAATGCGATCAATGATGTGCACCATGTCCCTGCGTTGAACGTTAAAATGATAACCCATTATAGTCAAAGTCAGATTACCTGGAACTGGGGGCGAGTCTCACGCGCTTGTAACCGGGATATCTGATTCCACCACTCTAGCGACCTTGTTGGAGAACGACAGTTCCATTTTGCACTTGAGACCCCACGAAAAGATAGGTAGCCGTCTATTCTAGGCGTCAGCTGAATGTACATTGGCTACATGATACAAGCTTATCTGAGGGGCTCTCTATATTGCCTGGAATCGCTGCAACGTAGCATTAAAACTGGTTGATGTGGAAGCGCAGAATTAGGAACATAGTGGTGCAAGATGGTGTTTCCCAACCACCACGTTTTCGCGCTCTTGCTAGATTAGCAATGCTACCTCAGATTCAGCAGGTTCTCGTCCAAGATTCGGAGCCGTTTCGAATGTGTCAAAGTATGCTCCGGTGTAGCTTTCAAAAGCATCATTGTTCGGGGCAAAGAAGGTGAATTTCCAGTTCGGATTGGTGTCAAACGCTTGAGTGAACCACCTGGCTCGTGCGATTTTCTCGGCTAAGATGCTCAGCTCCGGTCGGGACTTGATTAGACCCAAAGCGGCGGTGCGGTTGAGGTGTTGGAAGCCACGTAGGCGGGGATGTTTCGTGTAGTTCAGAGGGTCTGTCGTGGCTGTGGCTAGACACCCAGAAACAGGAGTCCTGCTAATGGAAATGCTGATAGTCTCATGTTGCGACGGGTGAGGCTCGAGTAGATATTGTGTCAACTTGAAGCGGTTCAGAAGAAAGGGAAAAGGCTTAAGTACATGTTCTTCCTCGATCATTATCAAAAACTTGTCGAATGACTAGGGTTAAAGGTAATTTAGTTTCCATCGACTAGGAGTCGGACTGACGGCCGCTGAATCGCCCGAGCCATCTGTGCGACGAGGCCCAAGATATTTACTGGGGGTAAGAATCCGGGGTAGCTCCGGGATCTAGACCGGTGCGCACACAGAGTTATTATCGCTATCTCGTATAAGTGCTGGGCAGTGACTTCTCAATTCCAACAAAATTGGTTTAGTATACCCAGAGCATCAAATCATGGAACACAAAAGTCAGCTCTCGTTGCTTCTCCTTATCGTGGCTATTTTTCATTCGTGCAGGTCGTGGTGGGAGGCACAGCTCTGGGGCAAACACCACAGATGGGCGCGGAATTCATGGAACGCATTCAAGGCGACGGTTAATTACACGGTGGTTCAAGAAGTCGGTTGATCTGTTTGAGTCACTTGGACTCAAGAAAGCCGGTTATAATTATGTGCTCCTCGATGATGGGTGGTCAAGCTTCAATCGTACCTCCGACGGCTATCTTCAGGCTAATGCAACTTCCTTTCCTCCAGGAATTGAGGCACTCACTAAGGAGTTGCACGGTCAAGGCTTGAAGCTAGTCTCTATGGTGACAGTGGACATTATACGTGTGCGTAAAGGAGACCTGGAAGCTGGGGTTAAGAGGAGAGAAGATGCCCAAACATTTGCGAGTTAAAGCGTGGACTACGCATCAAATACGACAACTGTGCGGAGGTTTTTAATCTATGAAACGGAGGCTCCCACAAATCCGATTCGGTGCTTCCATGAAGAACGCCCTTGCACTATCGGGTCGGGACATCTTCTATTCGGTGTGTGTGAATGGGGTTACCAATTCCCGTGGCACTGGGGAGGGAGGTGAGATAGCTTTCGGAAGAGTTCGTGATCTTTGGATCGACATACTGATTACATTGTCCCAGGTATCGGCCACATTCCTATCGTATGTCTGGCGATATCACGGCTGGTTTCACGAATGAAACCTCAAATGCCAGTGCAAGACTGCCTACTGTCTGGAATACTGGGTATGCTGGTTGCTCTGTCCCGACTATCATCAACAAGATGAAAGAGATCAGTCAATATCAGGACTCAGGGCCATTGGCTGGACTATGGATGCTCGAGATAGGAAATGCCAATTTTACGCTGAACCAGCAACAAACACACTTTGCGTTCTGAGCAGCGCTAAAATCCCCTTTGATCATTGGGGCCGACCTCAGCAAACTATCCAATGACAGTCTGGCGGTTCTCCCTGAATCAAGCAATAATTGCTCTCAACCAGGACGTGTTAGGGAACCTGTTATCTATCGGGAGGAGTTCAGCAAGGAAAGGCCTCGTCAGGTATGGACTGGAAAAGTTCCGGAGCAGTTTTCGTTATTCTTCTACTTAATGAGAAGAGTTACCCGTAGACTGGTGTCTCTTGTCTTAACAGATCAGGACTACTGGCTCTCCTAAAAAATTCAGTTGAGGTCGTCTGATGTAAAGTTGACAAATTGCACCAAGTTTCGATGGGATATTGGAGTCTTATCAAATACTCTGGTTAGAAAAGTTCAGACTTGAAAGCTGGAACACTATGTTGTATCCCTCAAATCCTTGCATATTCGCCACGATAGAACTCCCCTGTGTTCGCCGTACTGTCGTCAGGATTATGTAGTTTAAAAAATCGCATTTGCTCTATAATGTTATCGATGTCACGATGACACCATTTTGAACTTTGATATCGGATTGTTAGCTCTGGTAGAAGCTCGATCAGAAGACAACACTCACTCTTATCTGCTGAGCTTCAGTGACGACATGACGGACATCAAGCATCATGGTTTACTGAACGCATTCCGCAATCTATTCACAATGATCAAGGTATTATCTTAACCTCTGGAAACTAATTCAAATGTCTAGAATACTGAGCTCTCTCCTTTTTGGCCTTTGCACATGAATATGCTCTTTCTTACTGGCCTCACCAAATAATACCATTCACCATGAACGAAAACTATGGTGGTGTCCTTCACCGAAAACGGCTTCTCATCCCTTCTTTGGTTACGGTAGCACAGCTACTTCGATACCTGGAATGTCATCATCGGCATATACCTCCTCTTCAAGCGAATACGCAAATCTTGGCTATCGCATCCCTGTTCCGGCGCTTATAGCCGGCTCGGCTTCATGATGAGCTTCTGCCTGGTTGGCGTGTTCCTCCCCATTTGGTGCCATTATCATCCAGGTAGTGCCTTTGGGAACAAGAAGGTGACTCGTCTTCATGCACCAATACAAGCGTTCGCCCCTTGCTATGCTCTTATCTGGGATGGGCGTTGGCATCTACCTAGGTGTCAACACACACAAATAAGTTAAGTATCATCCCATCATCGGCTTCATTGTTAAGTTGGAGGGTTGTTGCTCTTCCAACCTCTCGGCAGTTCTCTATTCACATCTGCATTTCCAAAAAAACGGTACTAAGAGTGTTTTCGCCTATGTTCATCGTTGGTGGGAGCAGGATTATGGTTATACTTGGCATTAACGGCGGCTTGGGGTTCAGGCCGCAGGAATTGGGTTGCCTGGAACCCGGTGGTGCGGGTTATTTTACTACTCAGTCGTGGCGGGAGTCATAATAAGCGCCATCTTGTTGTTGGTATCGTTGTACTACCAGGCAGGTGGCTCATGCTCAAGAGACATGAAGCAAAACGATAATATCTGCATGAATCGTGAGGAATTGACAGGGGAGGTTGGGAACTGAGAAGAATTCTTTAATTGGCAGAAGTTCTCTTCAATTTCAGGAAGATGTAATTTATTGGCGCTCTATTCCACCCAGCCCTTTTGAATTTTTCTCTTCCCTTCGGCTTAGTGTCTCCGTGTTCTTGCTCCGAAGATACATTTATCTTTCCTCAGTTAAGATAAAACATGTGGTAAGAATCCAAAAATTGAGCCTTCTAGCAGTGTGAGACATACAATAGGAGACGAGACTGAGCCTGTCTGGAGTAAGGGGGGACTCAAGTCGATTTACATGAATTACTCAGATTCTGTTTTCAAGTCTTTTACTATCCTACTGATTGATCCCTGTTTGTATCATCTTCTAACTTTATTTTTCATGTTAAAGATTGCTTGTATCTCAGAATGACGGTCTTCGTATGGCTGTACCAATATAATGATCATATGAAGAAAGATCGCAACTAAAGATTCATTGCAGCTTAAGACTTCGAAGCTAAAAAAGAATGTACGAAAACTCAGCGACGAGCGCATACAGATAGCCTTAATTATTATCTCAGCCTCGGAAGTTTTAATCTTATGTCGAGGAAGAGACAGGATGATTACAGCACTTTGACACAGATTCCATCGTTTTCCTCGTTGAGAAACTCATTCCCATAGTAGACATGTCCGACTCATCCACGCCAGCGGCTGGATTGGTGACAAACTTGGCGCGCAGAGCAGCACGAATGATCCTTCATGGTCCGTCCCTCCATGCAGGGTAACCATCCTGACTGAGGGGGAATAGAACCCAGATTCTCTTCACGGCACATAAATTCTTCACATTCGGAGGTGGAGTGGCGGTGATGATATCAAGCTCCCTTGGCAATTTGGCTACAAAATGCCGTGAGTGGTAAATCGTTGACATCTTCACCAAAGGGATTTTCAATCTCACTGCTGATGAAGAGTAGGCCGATAATGATGTATGCGCCGACCAGATTCTGAGCATAGCTCATGATTAGGTAATTTCTTCTTTGCCCAAGATTTGGCACTGGTAGTTATATGGCTTGCTTGCGTACCTATAGATGGCAGGAGATTGTAGTCCAATGCAAGAAGTTATATAGTTGGAAGGGGAGGAGCAACACATAGACCCAGGGAAATCTGTGATATAGCGATACTATAAGCTGCGGGTAGAGGCGTATCCAGCTTGCGCTCCGTTCCAGTCAAAATTTCGTTGAGCGGGGTGACAACATGGTCACTGCGCGATTAGTTGAGACTAATTAAAACTTGGTACTCCGTATGAATTTCTTCAGCTTACTGACTTTACCCTGGATATTGGGGCAATGATAGCGTGACCATTTTTGACGCACGATTCAACATAGGCAGACAAATGGATGAGGATCTCAAATGGAAGATGTCCCAGTGGCTTTTTGGATCGCTTGACTAGTTTGCGGGGGTTAGACTTGGCGAATGAGAAACCAAGGTACTCCCATATATTTCCACGGCGTTTTGGAGTGCGGTGATACAACGCTATTATCGTGCGCGTCAAGAGCAAACGTATCCAGATGGCCAATGAGGCCTGCTGAAGTCCTCAAGTAGGCGACATCAGGTTCAAAGCGAAGCTTGTGTTTCAAGGAGACGGCGAAGGCGAGAATGAGGTTCAGAGCTGATCCTATGACGAGATAGTTAGTGATGTACATATATGATCAGTTCCAGATGGGTCCCTGGATATACAGCTTTCTCAGAAGATCCACCTTTGTATTCTCCTCTCCTTCTCGTTCGTCAAAGTGTACCCAGATTATGCGGGCCAGAGTACGCGAAGTTTGGAATAAGACCGGCCCAGTACTTTCGTCCATCTGCCCATCTAAAGCGAGTCAGTAGCCATCCGTGATTGACTTCTCTAAGAACTAATACCTTTCGTATGCAGTCGAGCCACGGAAGGATAATGATAAACCCTCAAATGAAGCCCAGCACAGTAAGAAGAATGTTATTAATACCAACTAAACCCATTTCAATTAGTCAGAGATATTCTTGTGTCAATAGAAATCCAGACTCACGATTATGTTTGAAATGAGAAATACAGGTAATGAGCGTGGCCCAGCCCCCGACAAGCAATAGTGGTAGAATCATTTGAGGCATCACACTCCCTTGAACTCTCATGACTGTTGGCCATTTTGAATGTCGTGTCATATTTCGAGGCCCATGCTAGTTTCCCAGATGTTATATACCCGCCATTTCTCTTCGGGGCAAGCGTCGAAGGGCAACATACAAAGTACCGCTCCAACTCGCTTCTGTCTTGAACGTGAAACTGTGACTCTCGTGAGTCCGCTAGGTGATCCATGAAGCTCGGCCGACGAGAGAATGACTCAATGAAGTCCTGCTCCTTCGACGGTGGGCATGATGTTCAGGCCATCTTGGCCATCACCATGGTCTACATCGACGGAGGCAGGAGGCTGGAGACGCCGCAGTCAGACATGATAGGCGAAAACAGGGTCAACGAAAGAATTAAAGAGACGGAAGAGTGAAAAGGGATAGCTTGTGAACTCTCGAGTTGGATTTACGAGTCAGTAGTAGTAAGCATAAGGATACTAGGAAGGGAGTCAAGCGGTCGTTAATATCAACGAGGGGGAAAATGTTTAAGCTACGTCATTCACGTTTACTTATCCCGATCTACAGTCACTTGTGACTATGCATTGACCAGACCAAGTGTCAAAGTACATCAAGTTACAACACCCCCTTGCCGTCTTAGGAAGCAGCTGCAGCCACGCCAAGGACAGTGAGTACCGAAGGGAAGCACGGAGGCATCTGACTGGAATGTTAAAGCTGCGTGTCTTCGTAAGCGCTTTGTTTGCTGGAATTCTATTGGACCAAATGGTGTTTATACTCCGATTCGAGCGGGGTGATCGCTGACTGCCCCGCCTGGCTTGTAGATCCTTGCTCATCTAAGAGAGTATACAAAGAGAAATCAAAGCACTTCAACTGTATTGATGTATGGCTTACCACCTGGTAGTTTGTTACTACTCGTCATTCAAAGCCAAAACCTCTTCCGTTATCGGTGCCAGCTCCCGCAATTTGTCCAACTCGATACGCGCGTGATTCTCAATCCATCGTTGTGCCTCCTCACCCAACTTGGCAATGTGCTTCCATAAGACTTTTATGGAGGACTCAGTACCCCAGCTAATGAGCGCATCAACCAAGAAGCATGTAAGCCCAAATAGCCATCCTCTTGCAAATTCCCAAGTGCAGAATACGCTTCGAGAGGACTGAAAATAGCTGCAGAGAGCCCTGGGCTCGCTATATCAATCCCCAAAGCCCGATTGATTCTCCACAGGACCATCTCATAATGAGGGGTCCTCACCGGGTATGTATTCTTCGAAAAGGGTGATAGAGAGTTTCTGACAGCTTCCCGGAATTCACCGCCGTCTAGCTTTGATATGACGGTCTGTATCTCGTCAAGGTAAATGATCTTCTCGGATGGCAGTCTGTATAGCGTACGACGAAGCAGACCTGTGACCTCGCTTGGTCCCAAAACTCGCATGATCCCTTCTGATTCTCTCTCTGTGCCCGATAATTCCAGCAGCGGGTGATTCCAAGGCTTCTTCGGATTGCTCAATCTCTTCACCATCATTGCATTCTTCCTCGCCAGAGGTCCGTGTTAGATTCCTCTGCGTCTTCGTCACTTTCCTCACTCTGATCCTCATATGAGGCATCACTTTCGGAGTCATTTTCCGCATTTCGACACTATGGTATCGAGATCTGACCATTCGATGCCTGAAGCTTCGACCCGATAGTCAAAAAAGAGACTTGAGTTCTCAAGGACTGGTGTCCCTCCTTTGATACTTGTTAGTACCTGGCCGAGCGGATTGACTTTGCAGAGGACTGGAATGTTCTCTCTCTGTGGTACTTCTGGGTTCAGACATGTGGTGTTCGTCGATGGCGTCGAGGTTTTCGAATTCTCTAGTTGTTGTGACAACTCGAGTTCCTCTTGGCCGACTTCATGTGAGGGAACATCGGACGGGTCCTCAGGTACCCACTATCTCGGTCGTCTAGCTGCGACGCCTGTGAAAAGGTGAATTTGCAAGTCCCATGAACATTTTGTGCTACCATTTGGAGGTAGTATACCATCATTTTACGGAGCCCCAGGTTCAAGAAGGGGTTGTTAGCGCCGAAGCTTTCGTATCAACGCACTCAAGGACGGGAACAAATTGATTGAAAGTGATGAGGTCGGATCAAGTTATTGGTCTCGAAGTACGATTGGCAAATTGGTGTGAGTTGGAGGATGGGGAGACTCGGGGGAGGGCGAGAGGAAAGAGACCAAGAGAAAGAGAAGGCGACGGGTGAAATCAACTCCAACTACTGAAATTAAGGAAGATACGGTTTCTATCCAGGATCGATGATTTCGATTGACTCAAATGCATTACTTCATTGTGGTCAAGAATAAGATGGTTAGGGAATTGCTAAAACGACGATAAAGATTGCTAATCACACGATACACACCTAATTTCGGGATTTAGCGCAGTCCAACTGTATTACTATCTTCTTATTAGGATATCTTTAAAGTGATCCTTATAGTTATTCAAGTGTCCAAGTCTAGAAGCTCAGAGAAACCGACCAACTAGACATGCTTCAATTACTCTTTTGTGAAAGGTTTTTTAAAAATGACTTTCGAATCATCTTTCGTAATAGCCGTTCAACTAGTTGGTGCTAAGATGATTTTGAAAATTTATTGGGGGCTTCAAATTTATGGAACCCAAATGTAGAAGAATGTAATACTATTACCTACTACGCTAAGCCAGAATAAGGCCGTTGTATCGTCGAATTAGCGATTGTGTATTGTCATTTTAGCAATTCTCAGACGGTTACCCAATGGTTGTTATAGTGTAGGGCGGTCGGATCGGGTTCCGTCTTCCGAGCTGTCGTTGCCCTTTTGGGAAGCTCTCCTCCGCTGAAACCTTTTTGAATCTCAACCCAACCTCAGCTCGGAGATCTTCCCATTATCGCCCCAAACTCCACACGCAATGGCCGACTACGAGCGCCGGAACAATGGCTACCGGGGTGGTGGTGGTGGTAGTGGTGGTGGCGGGGGCGCAAGCGCCGCTATCGAGAGTGAGCGATCCTGCCGAAGCTCTCTTTTGACGCGCTGCTGACCATGGTTAATCCTAGATGATGAGGACTTTGATCGCCGCCCCTCAGAGACGGAGATACGAGGAGCCACTGTTTGTGCAGATCCGCCGGCAGCTATTGACCATTGCAGGAATCGGTACGATATCACCTCCCTTCACGATCTCCGGGCGCGTTGTTGTGCTACATTTATTCCGGACTGGTCGCTGATGCTCGAAACTTATTGTATAGGCTGCTCGGAGAGTCGAGGATGATGTCGTGATAATTGCAAAGACTGTGGCTGAAAATTATGACGACGAAGAGCTGCGCGACACCTTGATCAACATTTCCTTGACCTGTACGAAACCTTGCCTTTTGGCTCCCTCCGATACAACATCAATGCGCCTACTAACAATTACATGTATACAGCGTCTTGGAACAACCGATGAAGATTCCCTTCGTTGCTGCGGACAGCCCTATTCGCGTACAACAACAAGCCGGAGCTGGGAACGGAGCTCTTGAACAAGGCGGCGTCGGCTCTCCAGAAATACATTGATTCCGGATCATGGCGCGAGGTCAAGCTTCTCGTCCGGTTCCTGGGATGTCTGCAGCCTCTTTTCGAGAGCGATGGCATCTTTACACTTTTGGAGGAGCTGTTTGCCCGCGCGGTTGATCTCCAGACCGCATCCTCGGAAGACGTAAGATTCCTAATATCTGGGAAAGCAGATTATCATAACCATACTAACCTTCTTTTCTCTGGGTATAGTTGCTCGGTCTGGAGCTTGTCAAAATTATCCTCTTCACCATTCCCTATGTGATGTCGTCCCCTGCTACTGGCTTCGAATCTCAAGCTTCCGCACTTCTCGAAAAGACCGACATCATTGCCTCTACTCCCCACGCCCTTGTGGACTTGGTCAACATTTCAGTCCGCAGAGAATGAGTCCGCAGCTGGTCCCAGTTTGATCAGTGTTCTTCAGGGCCAGCTTCAGGGTGAAGCTAGCAAAGGTTGGGAGTTGAAGTGTCTGCCCCGACCATGGAAGGATGTCCGGGAATCAGATGGGGACGAGCAAAAGCCTTTCGAGGCAGTGGCCAAGATCGCCTTCCCGCAGATCACTGTCCCCAACCCTGTGCCCTATGGACCCCGGGCTCTTTTCCCGGAGGTCTACCTCTGGTCTACGCTAAACAGGAGGTTGATACCGTGCCTCCCGTCTCGGACATCACCTCCTCGCTCTTGCGAGACGCCTTGGTGGATACCCTCAACCTCCTCGACTTTAACCGCGTCGCAACGGCTAAGTACCTTATCGACGTGGATTGCTATTACACCCGCCACACCTTCGTCAAGCGTGCTACGCCGTTTGACCGCATGCGTGAGATTGCTGGTGATAACTACAGCTATGGAAGCCCGAGGACATGGCGGTGGATGCGGTCTTTTCACAGCTGTTCCAGCTGCCTACGCCGGAACACAAGCTTGTGTACTATCACTCCGTATTGACCGAGTGCTGCAAGATCGCCTCTGCAGCAATTGCCCCGAGCTTGGGCCGTGCCATTCGATTCCTGTACAACAGCTTGGAGACCATGGATCTGGAACTGAGCAACCGGTTCTTGGATTGGTTCGCCCACCACCTGAGCAACTTTGGTTTCACCTGGAAGTGGAGTGAATGGTAAGGAATGAACCTAGCTTTGTGTTCACATGATTAGCGCTGGCAATGCTGACAGTGTATTGAATAGGGTTGAGGGTCTCGAGCTTCCTGCCATACATCCTCGGATGGCATTCATTAACGGAGCTTTGGACAAGGAAATTCGACTGAGCTGCGCAGCGTATTAAGGGTACTCTGCCCGAGCCTTACCTGCCTTTGATCACAGAGAGCAAGGAGAAGGACACACCTCAATTCAAATATTCCTCCGAAGGTATGTATAAAGCGTAGCCCTTTCTTACTATGTTCAACCCAGTCGACTAACCATGAATAAACAATAGCAACCCCATACTCCAAGGAAGGACAAAGAGCTCGGGCAGCTCATCCGCAAAAAGGCAACCGATGATGAACTCCAGCCCATCATTGCTGCCATCGAAGAGCAAGCACAGGGCCTGGGTGTGGAAGACCCTAAGGTTCCTTCGACAGACGCCCTCGTTGCTTCCATCTGCTTCGTGGGTTCCAAGTCTCTGTCCACGTCCTGTACCATCGAGCGTAACAAGGACCGTCTGCTCGCCGTTGGTGCAGCCTCTGAGAAGGCCCGCTTGCAAATAATCACCTCGGTCATGGTGTACTGGGCCGACCAGACGGGCATTGCCATCAACATCATCGACAAGCTGCTCAACTACACCATTATCAGCCCTATGTCCGTTCTGGAGTGGGCTCTCATTGACCACATCGAGGCTGGCGCCATCCTCTCCAAGCCCCACATCTACGAGATGATCGCCGCCACCGTTGGCAAGGTCACCAACCGTATGCGCCAGATTGTGGCTGCTCGCACTCAGAAAGGCCTGTACGAGCCCCAGCTCAGTGTTCTTGAAGACACTCTGATCCGCGAACGGGTCGAGATGAGGAATCTCTTCAAGTTCATCGAGGACGCCGTTGTCTCCGTTGCCACCGGCAGCAACGACGAGCTCATGGAGCGTGGCGATGGATCGGTTGATATGCCCGAACGCCATCCTCCGCCAGTAGGGCCGCCGCTGGCTGCGTGTCTTCCGCCGTAAGGCTGCCGTCGAGGACGCCTTCATCTCTGATGCGCTGGTCAATGCCACCCCGGTTGGCACCAATGCCCCCATGCGCGAGGATCCTGCGGATACCGCGGCTGACGGGGACATTCACATTGCTGATGCGGATGGGCAATAAAATCATGGATTGGAATGGAGGAGATCGATCTGGGGTAGTTTGGTATTCGCGCATCCCATGACTGGATCGGATAGGGAATTTTCAGCACTGGACTTGGACTTAGCACTGATCTTGCGTTGTTTTATTATGTTTTCTTTTTTATTTCCTTTCACTCTCTGTGTTCTGCATGATCTTTCTTTTCTTTTTTTTGTTTCCTGTTCTCTCTGGTCCTGAACATGTCATGGGTGGATCTCAATTTGATCCCCGGTGAAAATCTGGATCTGTACACTACCCTATTCAGCCCGAACGCTAGTCTTTGCGTGTTCTCGCCAATGGAATAATATTTCCATTAGTTAAAGGAAAGAAACATGAAAAACCTTTCTCATACCCAGGATTCGATTTTGTAGACTTGACTTCCTAAACGTGAGCTGCCCTGATACCAACCGTCGGTGCTGAAACTTTGTTAGCTTCTATGAGGCTGGGTTGCCTCCCTCTGACGATATGTTGCACTACTAATCCTATTCTCAGGTATGAACTGAACATAATAGAAACATGTACATATTATCATAGTGTTTCTTTGATCCTATAGATAGGTTGGGTTACCCTATCTAGGCATATAACAGCATCAATTACGACGATCCGCACCTCACCACACAACTAGTTCTATCCATTCTATTTGCTCGATGAATGTATGACTAGTCTATAGACCATACGAAGGAAAGAGATGAAATATTCTTTGAGTCTCTCAAAGATCCATCCCCCATCTCTGGATCATAAAGTTGGACTTGGACATGTTTGTACCCTGCTATCCTATCCCATCCCGGTCTCCACTCAGCCCTGGAAGTCTAAGCACAAGCTTACCCGGATCTCTCCTCTCTCCTCTCCCCTCTCTCTCACAGAAATAAACTTTCTACCAGGGAATAAACTTTGCCTAGATTGGGCCTCGTATAGACTAACAAACACAAACATCTCTCGTATAGGTATTAGATTTGATTTTGATTTTGATGCTCTCAGATGGAGTTGGATGGGGAGATAGAAATACAGAGTAGATAGATATAGTAAGGGAAGGAGGATGAGAAGGAAAATATAGAGTATAAAACGCCGACGTAAAGGAAATGGATATCACAAAAGACAAGAGACAAGACAAGGCGAAGACGAAATGGACTTAAAGAGCGTAGGCAAACACAAACACAAACACAAACAGAAGAGTAACAGTGACACAAAAAGTCCAACATCTAATAAACAAGGCCCCTCATAACATCGTGTACACGATGATGATGATGATGTAACAGTGATAAGGAAGAGCCGAGAAAGCTCCCAAGATATACTCCATAGCCATCACTCGCTATGACCAAAACCCCCTTAAGCATTCAGTTCACCACCCTCTTTTCTTCCTCCCTTCCTATTAATATCAGCATCAATATCATACCCTCCTCTCCAAATAATAACCCCCCTCCTCCCCCTCACTACTCGACCCCCCATTCGGACTCGCACCCGCGAGGCCATACATCCCCATCCCGCCATCTTTCGTACCCACGTCTATCCTCCTCAGATTCCATAGAAGACATTCTTCCCGCCACACCCCACGGGTATGACCGTGGCCATGGGCATGAGCACTCGTCGTCGAGATCCGCCGATCTTTACCCCGACCTTTAATCCCCTTGTTGCTGTTTTTGTAGAGCTCGGCAAAGTACTCCCATAGCTCGCGGTCTGCGGGGACATGGGGCCAGCGTCGCCCATTTGGGCGAAGCGGAGGGTAAATTGCGGAGGGTTGTGGAGTGGAATTTGTTTTGGTGGGACTGTTTCGTTTGACATGGATTATTATTTAAGTTACTTGTTGTCTTGGGGAAGAAATGGAGAGGCTTACCTTGAGGTTCCCAAGTTGAGTAAACTTCTTTCCACAGGAATCCAACAGACAGGTAAATGGTTTTGCTTGCATGTGGGTGATTTGGTGGGCGCGGACGTTGCCCCGCTGTGCGAAGCGCTTGTGGCAGACTTCGCATTTGAATGGCTTTTCGCCTGTGTGTCGGCGTTGATGGGTCTAGATCGAGGGGGCATTAGTATGATGATTCGTTCGAGTAAAGACAAGGACAGTGAAGACAAGAATCACCGGGTGGTGTCATTCTTGTCTTGCATGGGATTGTCATGGCAGATGCTTACCTTGAGGTTTCCTAACTGAGAGAACCGCTGTCCGCATGAAGGCTCCTTGCAGATCTATGTCCTCGTCAGCAAATGATACTTTCTCTTTCCAAGAGAGACTCAAGCCCCTCTTTCACACTCTCTTCCTGAGAATCAAGTGACAGAATCAGGGTCTACTGATGATGTAGATACTTACAAAGGTTTCTCCCAGAATGCGCCCGATTATGAATATCCAGATGGGTCTTCTGCGCAAAACTCTTCCCGCTAATTCGGCAACATGCAGGGTATACTTGCGCTTCTTGCCAGACCGGGACAATTGCCCCTCATTCGTAAGCAGGCTGCGAGGCGGCGACATCGGATAACCAGCATAGCTTGGATATCCCGGTGGTGCGAGCTGCTGCAATGGTGGCAGGGACTGCTGCATCGGGACCGGGGAAGTCGAGGATCCAGGCTTAGCCTGGATGGCTTTCATGAGGACGTCGATTTCGGTGGAGAATTGGGCTTCTGCGCCTGTCTTTTTCGAGGCATCGCCCTCTGGTGAGCTGGTTTGGTTGCTTGCTGGGGCGTAGTCCGTGGCCCGCGTGGTGACTTGGTTGATGGCGTTCTTTGCGGGTCGGATTTCGGGGAGTGATTGCAGGGAGCTGGTTGGGGTTGATGCTGCTGCTGGTGCTGGGAATGGTGCTGCTGTGGTTGATGTTGATGTTGCTGTTGGTGGTGATGGTGGGCAGCATGGTGGTGGTGATGTTGAGGCTGGTGGTTATCCGATGAAAGACGCACCGGCGGCCTAGTGCTGGTTGACTAGCCACGAAGTACTGGTAGGGATGGGATGGTTGAGTCAAAGCCGCAGAGCCAAAGCTATATGCAGCTGTCGTGGGAGTCGGTTGGTAGGCAGCGTGTACGGGGTCGAAGTCGGGTGGGAATAGTAAGGGTATAGATGCGAGTCCATGGCGCGACGGTGGGGGTATGAGCCCACACCATGGCCAGGAACTCATGGCAACTGGCTCAGCAGTCTCCATGATAGATGAGTAGGACAGATAGAAGACAAAAAGATAGAAGACGAAAAAAAGGCCAGGGGGTGGTTGTTGGGTTAGAGAAGAGTCTTTCGTTCGCCTGAAATGTGAAACCCTGACTGGGCAGCCTGACAGCCCCGAGCCACGTACTTGGGAGGGAGGGCTTATGTCGGGTTGGTTGAGGGGTTCTTGTATTCTTTTTTGCTTTTGTTTTTGCTTTCGTGCCTGTCTGCTGGGATGAGATCCGAACGATCTCAGTTCTTTTTTTGAAAAGAAGGTTGATTTGGGTTTTGTCCGAAGAAAAAGAACAGAGAAGATAATCTCCAGGGTGGGCAAGCGAAGTATAAGAAATAGACAATGCACGATGGTGATGGTAGGTTCCTGTGCACACTTTTCAGATACTGGTCAATCTGGGATGATAACTGGGATATCCTGAGTCCAGGGTATCGTTGCAAGATGTCGAAATATAGCAAAGATATATCAAAGAGAAATAGGGTTGATATGTTTCCAGTCGGGAGTCTCGCAGGCTCAAGATGCAACAATCCAGCAGAGCCGGGGGAGGTCACCGATGGATCTATATAAGGATCTTCCGCGGAACGAGGCAGACGTTTTTATTTTTCTGACAGCAGGCAGAGAAACGAATAAATCGCGGAGCGCAAATCCCCACGACTATTCCCACGGGCTGCAGGTGGGCTGAAGAAAAAGAGTTCCACTCGATGGGATCGGCCCAGCATCAGCCAGAGTCCGAGCGAACTAGTGGTGATCACCCGCGTCGTCCGCCGTCAAAAAGTAGTCAAAATCGAGCAAGTCCAAGCTCAGGTTAGTTTGACCCATGGGAATGGATGAGAACGCCTAGTGGATGAGGGTTGACAGAGAAGGATTTCTGTATAACAGTTGGTATATGACGTTCGCCCGAAAGGGGAAGTAGAAGTACAGTAGTGGTTCACTGTTCGAGGCCCCCCTCCTCCGACGTGCAGGGCGATCTGACTGGGGAAAAAAATGTAAAATAATAATAGAATAGAATAATAGAATGCCAATCGAGAGGAAAGACAGAAGAGAACCAGAATGATCAGCAATGGTTAATGGTAGACTCTAAGCAACCGAATGGTGATGACAGGGTTCGTGTATATGGAGAATGGTAAGAAACGAAACCAGAGGAATAAAGAAATAATATTTTTTTAATCCGAATAATAGTTGTCCACTACTATATAGTAATATTATTAAAATGTATCCAGTTCTCCACAGTTACTGGCGGACGCATCATTTCAGACAGGAAGATCCTGCTGTATCACGAGAATAAGGGAAATAATCTTTAGATTTAGTTTAGCTTAGTTTATTACTGTAGTCCCCGCAATCATCGAACTAAAGTACTCTGTCGAGATTCTGTCAATTTCTATTATCATGCCCAATCCTTTTCTATTAGGAGTTCTCTTGCCTCTGATTCGACGAACCCGATGGTTGGGAGCTGGGAGGACAGAGGGCGAGTCTCGGTGAGGATTTGCCCCAGAGTCTCAGAGTCTCAGGCCCAGTCGAATTCAATTGCAGCCGCGACTGGCGAGGATTTTAGCTAATAAGTCTAGTTGGATTGGGGTTAGTGGGAGAGAATAGGGTAAAATAATAATATTCATTATTATAATAATTATAATTCATAATATATCAACTACACTAAACTAAATCCAGAACTTGGGGGCGTGACTGTTCAACTCCTCCACCACTAACAGTCTCTCAGCGACATTTTGGCCCACCTCTTGACTCTTTGTTTCCCAGTTCTTCTTCTTTGTCTGTCCATCTTCACTCTTGCTCTGTTGGTGGTGACTGTTTACCTTGTACTTTCTGTATATTCTGACTCGGTACTGTTTACTCAATGCAGCGCGTCTATGATTATCCTTTTTTCCCCGCCTTGTTTTTTTTCTTTTCCTTTCCTTCTTCTTCGTCGTCTTCTTTATTGTTCTCTACTCCCATGTATACCCTCCATCCATACCTTCACAAAATAAACTATTCACAAAGCAGAACAGAAGAGCAGAACCAAAAAAGCAATCACCTCCTAACTGCATCGCCCTCGAGGGCGGCCGGGCCATCGGGCTTTCACAATTAGAATGTGGACGGGGATCTGCACTCGACAGAAAGTCGACAGGTCGAAACCAGCTTCCCCAAGGCCCAAGAACCAAGTCTACAGTCAGCCTCTTCCTCTCAAGCAGCCCCCGATTTCCCCTCAAGACTCTAAGTCTGTATGTAAGAGGGGGGGCCTCGACCAGGGGGAGGGGGCGCCTGGGGGATTACCACTTCGTTCTCTTCCACATCTCACTGGTCAACAATTTCTCTGTTCTCTGTACTCCGTATACCTCGTACTTTGTACACTCATCTGCTCTTCCCCGAGTTCCCGAAATCCTCATTAATTCAAGAAAACCACAGTGCCAGACTCTAGTACCCAGTGCCCACCTCCTCCACCACCCGGATCAAGCCCGGAGTATGGGTGGCTGGACTGCTGGAGGTAAGTAGTTAGACCCAAAATAAATATCCACTTTTACAGGCCTTTCGCTCATCTTCTCACCCCAACTCCCTATCCTGATTGGCCTCTCACCCGGCTGCGCCCGCCCGATAGTCGCCAATAGCGTCCGATGTCCCCAGGGATCATAGGATGGATGAGAGGTTCCCCATCAGACTAACTCCAGCGAATATCCTGGTTAGCCGCCCATGGCCCTGGAAAATTCCTTTTGCTGGCTGACCCTCCCGATCGGTTTCGTTTCAGCTTGGCCCAGATTAGGCCCTTGTCTAGATCTGGCTGGTCGATCTCCGAGGGGATTCTGGCTCGGGCTAGGACCAGGGCCAAGAAGGTGGTCACTAAGTACTCTCTACTGGACTGGACAAGGGCCACTTGCTGGTCTGCTGCCTTCTTCTTGGTGGTTTTGGTGTCACAGTGACCAGCGACCAGGCGCTGGTTGCTGGCCTGCTGGTCACTCGTCGCTCCGTGCGTGGAAAGGACCTCCAGCAAATACGGAGTCTGAGGCTGCGGCACCAGCAACCCGGGTTCTGGCTCGGGTTCCAGACTGATGATGACTATCTCTTGGACTCTTCCCAGGAGATTACGTCCATGAAATCTCATTCTCCTTCTCCTCGGGACTACAACATATCGCAACACAATCATCCCTCGATATGCAGAATCTACCGTACTATAGTCTTAGAGTACAGTGCTCCGTACCTACATACCGCATGATCTCCCCCGAAATGACAGCGCCAACGTCTTCCGATCAATATTTGTTTTTCATCTCACGGTATTTCACCCGAGGAACAGACACCTGCACGTCGAACCCCCCAAGTGAGTAGGGACTGATGCATCAGGGCGAGGCGTTCCGGTTCTTGTGGTGGTTCCTGCAGGGGGAGATCGGGGGGTGGCGGAGGGGCTCGGGTTTGCTCACGAACTCCTGCCAGAAGTAGAGTGGATGTGTAAGAGAGCGCGTGCGTAGTGTCTGATCGGAGAGTGGAGAATCCTGGTCCAAGTAGGGTAAATAGTCGATTCAGCCAGTTTTTGTTTGAATATTCAGGGGAGAGTGCATACAATACATCATACTTACAGAGGACATACGAACAGGTGTCAGTTGCTGTAACTTGTACTGAGGACTGTGGTAACTACTGTAACTACCCTGTCCTGATCCTCCAGGAATTCTCATGTAGAACCCGGTCAAATTACAGACAGGGTACTCACTAGCTTCCCATCCCACAACAGGAGAGAAACTAAAAAGTAATTAGCAATTAACCATAATAATCCTAGTTAAAAAGCTCCATTCCCAGTTCCAGCTCCAGCTCCAGCTCCAAAACAAGTTAGTCCAACGACCACCCAAATTACGCTCTTTTTGCTTGTCTCGTCTAGCTCACGTAGATCATCACACACGGACTCAATATCCCATCCTAGACAACATCGCACAGGATATGGTAAAAGGTGTGTAGCTGGTCGGTGGACAGTGGTCAATGGCCAGTGATCGGTCTAGTACTAGTCATTATTATTTCAGACAAGTCCTCACTCCCCCAATCCCATTTCCCGACACGAACCAGGCAGCCGCTAACTCTTGCCCACACACAGTAGCGCTCCGTGCTGTCGGTACCGGTGCCGTTGGATAGGGATGGGATTAGGAGGAGCTAGTCAATTCAAGCAGCAACTCAGCACTCAACACTCAGCACCTAGTTTCTCAAGCAGAAGCAGAAGCATGTCGAGCTAGCTAGTAGCTTGCTACAGTAGCTAGCTAGTTCTATAGCTGCTCAAGAGAGAGAGACTAGGATATTGGGTATGAGATATTGGATGCCGGGGTAGCAATTTGAGTCGATGAATCGAGGTCGTAGGTACCCAAGGAGTATCGCTGGTTCGCAAGCTCCTGTATAGTATACTGGAGAATACATACAGTAGATTAGGTACTCCGTAGTTATGTACGCAGTCATGTCATCTCCCTGGTTATTACTTGACGTTATTTAACAAACCTACATCTACAGTATGCATATTCATGTCATTCCATCTACGTAGTCTCAAGGACTCCTGCCCTTACCCTGCCCTTACCCTTACCCCATATATGTACGGACAGTACATTCCTTCAGCCAAAATTCTATATTACCATAGCCATAGCTATAGCTATAGCTACCCATGCTCATATCACAACCCATCCCCATCCTCATACAATACCCATATTCACCCGCCAAATACAATATCCAAATAATGATACTGATACTGATAAGAAAAACGCCTCAACTCCACTCCTCCCTAATCTAAACCCACATCTCTAGTTCTATCCCCAAACTCCGCGGATCACTGATCCCTGATCGCCCTCTAGGGCCAGGTCATCCACCATCCACCATCTTCCTTCCTTCCTTCGTGCTCGGATCCCGTAACGACTAACGACTTCTCTCGGTCCCGGGACAAAAACTCGACAGGTCTTCTCCATACCAGTCCCACTCCCCGAATCTCCCCTAGGCCCCCTACCCTACCGTACGGTACCCATCTCGCGGCTCCGGCTCCGACTCTGTGGCGAATGCGATTCGATTCAGAACATAACCGGACTGGAGAGCCACTTCCTTCTGCCAGTGCCAGTGCCACTGGACCAGGGTTATCCATTCTACAGGGTATACATTCATTGCTGGGTCCCCTGGCCCAGTGTGTCGGGACTCGGGATTGCTAGGCTTTCGTCTTTGTCTATTAATATTAAAATATTATTAAATTAAAAGTATTTAGTCTTATTTATCGTTTTTATTTTATTTTCTTGGTGTGTCCAGTGACTACGTACCAGTATTCAGTTCACGGTGTCTAGCTTAGCTTCCAGTAGTAGTAGTGGTACTCCTGTGGTTCAGGTTCACGAAGAGAGCGCCGTGCTCGTTTGATTTGCCCCCCATTATTCTCTTCCCCTCCCTCCTCCGCCCTTCGCCTCTTCTTGTGCAACTTACCTAGAATAGGGTGTGGTGTGGTCATTTGGTCATGCGCCCCGAACTAGGTCCTTGCTGGGTTTTACCTGAATTGGTCTTCCGGGTGGAGTTGGTTTGGGATATTTGGGAGATTGGCTTGGCCGGGTCAGGACTGGCGAGTTGGATGTATAGTAACTCCGTAGATCTCATTAAGCAGATGGTTGGTTGGGATGAAATGGCTCCGTGGAGATGATGTGATGAGACACTACGAGGTAGATATTAATCTACGGCTACGGCCGACAGTCTACTTACTCGTTAATATGGATTATGATGAAAACAGACACTGTGCATGTGCATTATTCAAGAACAAAGCACCAGAGATTTGAACCAAATAAGATATCAAAAGAGAAAGCAAGAAGAGAATTGGTAACAGGAGTAACATAAAGACACCGTCAAATTCAAGCCCCAACCTGGCTACGAAGGAATCCAAGCAAGTAAAGTCATATTGCGCCGTGGCTGAGCCGATCCCTTTTACCGTCCTGTGTACGTCGAGTATCTGTGTCGAACCAGTGGGTCAGTAAACGGCCAAAACGAGAAAACGATAATCGATCGCGGATAGAACGAAACCCCCAAAAAGACATGCTCGATGGGTTGGATCGGACTGGACCACCGGTGGCTTGAGAAGAGAGATGATCGTCGACCCGACAGTCTGGGATAGGGGAAAACAGGGACCGAATAAAAAAAGCGGAGACACAGAAACAGAGAACGGGGACAAAGGTCGTGATAATCGAGAAAAAGAAAGCGATTGCTTACCTCCAGATCCGTGCACGCATGTCTCCACTGCCAGTTGCAAAGAGGTTGCCGGTCGGGGCAGGGGCCACCGAGATGACTATCCGCGGAGAATTAGAAACAAATGATCGACGAGCACGACATCGCTAGACGTTTTGCCAAACGAGAGAGCGAGGGGGTGGATAAGATAGATAGTAGGATAAGAGCCCAAGGTGACAGTGACAGATATGACAGCACACTATCGACCCGGCTAAATCCAAACTATCGGACGATAGACTCACCAGAGTTCTTGTGGCCCTGCAGCATCATCTGCGCATTTCCAGTAACTGGATCCCAGAATTGGACCCCACGGTCCTTCGAGCCACTCATGACCCACTGGCCATCGGGCGTCAGGCACACGCTAAGCACAAAGTCCTATAGCATGCAGTAGTCAGTACCCAGTAACTGTCAAATAGTGGATCCATTGTGGTTGCCGTGTGGCGCGGCCGTTCCATAAGGGAGATCATGGGTGGCATGGGACGGGATGGAAAAGGATGATGATGAACGAATTGAGTCGATCGGAATGGATGGGAAAAACATACCTTGTGGCCCTCGAAAGTGCGAATGCACTTGCCGCCCTTGACGCCGCTGTGAGGGTGCATGCCCCGCGGGACAGTAAGCTCCCACAACTTAATAGTCTTGTCCAGACTACCGCTGACCAGGTCGCGACCATTGGGCGCAAAGGCAACCGAGTACACGCTGTCCTTGTGGCCATCAGGGTTCTCCAGGCGCTCCACCAGGTAGCCAGTGGTGGTATCCCACACCCGCACACTCTTGTCCAGAGAACCGGCAGCCACGTAGTGACCATCGGGAGACATGGCCACCGTGGTGACACCGTCCTCGATGCTCAGAGTGTAGACCAGCTTGCCGTCGAGGATATCCCACAGACGGACGGTCTTGTCACCACTGCCCGAAGCAATGTAGCGGCCATTGCCGGCAAAGTCCAGCGAGTAGATATCCTGCTCGTGGCCGCTGAAGATATGCTTGATGGTGCGTGCAGCAATATCCCAGACCTATAAAACCAGGATTTGTCAGTCATCAAGTCTTACTTTAGAAGAGATTGCCTCTCGCTGTCCTTCACTACGAAAATATCGGGTTCGGGGTCAACGGAGGTTCACGGGGTCCGAGATAACTTACCCGAATCTGCTTATCCTCCGCACCGGTTGCCAGGTACTTGCCATCCGGGCTGAAGCAAACGCTACGGATGTAGAGGTCACCATCCTTGTCGACATTCTCATCCTGCAGGGTCGCCACATTCTGACCAGTGGTCACATCGAAGATCTGCGCCGAGCGGTTGCAGCCCGTCGCCAAGTACTTGCCATCACGGCTGAAGCGAACACAGCAGACCACGCTGTCGTGGTTGAGATGGTGCACCAACTCAACATCCAGCACACGCTGAACCTCGGGGTTGAACACGGCATACCAATCGGAACCCTCACGCTTTTGCGACGCGGGGAGATCCGCGGGATCCCAGTTGGCGAGCATGTTACCCGGGCGGTCCGCACGGACGAGCGGCTGGTTGGGGGGTGGGACGGGGAATCTGAGGCGAGGCACGAGGATCCGGATAGGCGATCTGAGTCTGCTGGGGAGTGGCCGGACCCGGAGCGGTGCGACGACCCTTACCCGGGCCAGGGGATGCAGTGGGAGGAGGGGGAGGTCCGTAGCCTGTAACATCGCAGAGAGGTCGAATACATTAGTCTACCTGACAAGAAATCTCCAATTATGCAAACATACCGTTCACAGCAGCACCAGGCTGATATCCTCCAGGGAAGCTCTGCGGGGGCTGCGGCGCACCAGGCTGAGCGGCCGAGGCAGGCTGTTGAAGGGTATGCTGGGAAGGCTGCTGATCCTGGGAGGGGGGAGGGGCAAGACCGGGACCACTACCTCCTTGGTTGGTCATGATACCACCAAACAAGTTGCTGGGGCCATGGCCCAATGAAGGTGGTTGCGCCTGAGGGCCGGTGTGCTGCGCGGGCGCGATATGCGAAGAGACGGGTTGGACACCGCGCTGCTCGAGTTCATGTCGCAACATTCGGATCTCAGCCTCGTAGCTATAGGCGCGTAGAGAAGTGTCAGTCGCAAAAGCTTTGGAGAAGATGCACCAGTAAGCCCCCTTCCCGCCACGGCCTTTTCTTTTTGCATTGTTTTGCGCCACGGTCGGGGAGGCGTAGAAGAGCGTGGAGTGGAGAGGGAAATCACTCTAGATCAAATCTAGACGCATGGGAGTAGGATAACGCACTCTGCCTTCATTTTAATCTGGGTCTGCTCCAGTTGGTATACCTTCTGACGGATCATCTCCATCTCCTGGAGCTGTCCGGTTACTGCGTGATCTGTCAGTTAGAAACATTTCAGCGAATTTTCGCGACCCATGAGAGAGAGCGCTTCAGCCATTGATGGACTGGGCGACACTTGGAAACAGTGGAAAGGAGAAAAGCCAATGAATGTAGGAAAGAGCTGAACGGGCGATTATGCGATATCAAGGTGTGGGGATCATACACTGGTGTTCATATTCGCCGGTGCTCCGAGACTGGCTCTCGAACTCCTGGCGCAGCTGGTCGAGCAACTCTGTCAGGCGAGAGTTGGGGGCGGGCACCATCCCGCGATGGGTGTTGTACATGGCTAAGGTGATGGGTCGGAAGACGCTAACACGTCAAATAAGACGAGGTTTCAAGACAAGCGATCTTTATAATGGAAAATCGGAATCAGCGACAGCTCGCGACGAGGGATCGCAGCTTAGACGAGGATTGAATTGACTGACACTGCGATCGTTGAAGGCGCGATTGCTGCTTGGTGGACGACACCAGGCAGCTTGCCCGATGATGATGATGATGATGCGGATGGAAAGAGTCGAATAAAGGGGTAGAAAGCTTAGGTCGATCAAAGTCGGTGGAGGGAGGTTGGCAACTCGAGGTAGACCGGATGAGGAGGGAGAAGGTCGGATGAAAGAGGGGGTGGAGGAGGAAGAGGCTGGCAGCGGGAAGGTTGAGTTGAGTTTGGGGGGTGGAGATGGGAACGGGGCGGCTACCGTTGGCGCGAGAAGCGAGGCAAAGAGCCGAGAAGCGCAATTAAGTGGACTTGGGAACACCACCACCAACTATGGGCGGAGTGGTTCCGAAAGGAGGAAAAAGCGAGAACAAAAAGGAGAAACTATGGGACCCGACTAGAGGAACTGGGATGGACAGATAGTTCAAAGAGTGAGGAGAAGAACTACTGTACAGTAGGTAGTACCCGTAACAGTTACCCGTTTGCAAACAGGCTAAGATTAGAGATCAGAGTCTGATGGCCAGATATATAGAGAGGTTAGATAGTTATATTCAGGAGGTCCTAGGTCATCTGAAAGAGAGCTTGAAGGTATTCTCCGGACTCCCTATCGTATTGTCTTTCAGTCTTACTACTATTCTATTTAATCTGTCAAGATGCCCTTCAATCATCGGCATGTCCTCCTCCGTCCGTCTCTTTGAAACTTGCCAAGTGGGTCGGCGATATCGCCGCATCTGGCCTGGACAGGTGGCCTTGCTGCCTTAGATAACTTGGTGCCTTATGGCCTGAGGCTTAAATTACGCCCCATTTCTCAGGCATTTAACCCCTGACTAACCTAATTGGGACAAGCGTGGCAGTGTTTAAACATCCTCATTCCTTCGGCGTACCTTTGAGTACTTAGAAACAAGATGAGGCACAGCAGGCACCATGCCACTGATCATGCTAATTCTATAGATTCTATCATGGATGCCTAGATAGATCGCATGATCCGTCATAGATATACTTTTTTTCAATAATATTCTATCATCCCATCCAACTTCAATTATTGCAACCTGCTTATTAAGAGCGCCATCAACGACGGCTGGCCCCGTTCCGCGCTGGTGTGATGCGGGCAGAATTTATTATTCGCCGCCTCAAATAATCTCCCGATCTCCCGATTGTCGACTTTCCCCCCTTCCACCTCTTCTTCTTCCTCTCTAAACACGCCCCTCCTCCCTCCCTCACACCCATCATGGATATTATCCTTGAGCTCTGGGACACCTTCATTGGTGATCGCCTCTACTCGACCCTTCTTCCGACCTCCCTATCCTCTACCGTCGGTCTTCCGGCCTTCGTCAATGTCGCCAACAGCACGTTGTCCCTCTTTGGCGCCGCGGAGCCCTTTATCTATGAGCCCGCCACACAATTGATCCATTTGGAGCCTTCCAAATATGCCTATCTCAGCGCCTGGCCTCGGAATAACATCTACCGCCAATTCACAAGCTTTTTCCTCATCACATGGTATGCGCTCAATGCCACGTCCTCCTTTTCCCCTCGCCACCCTTCAAAAAACTACGACATAGAGACTATGCGCGCAAATATCTCAGAAACTAACCATGAATATGGCAATTGAATTAGGATTTTCGGCCTTCTCGTATACTTCATCGTCGCAACCGCTTCCTACATCTTCGTTTGGGACAAAACCACCTTCAACCACCCCAAGTTCCTCAAGGGCCAAATCCCCTTAGAAATCAAGCAGGCCATGTCTGCTATGCCTCCAATGGCCCTTCTGACCGCACCCTTCTTCGTCCTCGAGGTCCGCGGCTACGCCAAGCTCTACGATACCGTCGCCGAGGAGCCCTTCCCCTACTATAGCATCCTCCAATTCCCCATCTTCATCTTCTTCACCGACTTCTTCATCTACTGGATTCACCGAGGGCTGCACCACCCGCGCGTCTACCGTGCTCTTCACAAGCCGCACCACAAGTGGATTATGCCCTCTCCTTTCGCTTCCCACGCCTTCCACCCTCTCGACGGCTGGTCCCAGAGCGTGCCCTACCACGTCTTCCCCTTCCTCTTCCCGCTGCAGAAGGTCGCCTACGTCTTCCTCTTCGGTTTCATCAACCTGTGGACTGTCTTCATCCATGATGGCGAGTACGTCGCGAACAGCCCTATCGTCAACGGTGCCGCTTGCCACACCATGCACCATCTCTACTTCAACTACAACTACGGCCAGTTCACTACCCTGTGGGACCGTCTGGGTGGTAGCTACCGCAAGCCTAATGAGGAGCTGTTCCGTCGCGAGACCAAGATGAGTGATAAGGAGTGGGAGCGTCAGTCCAAGGAGATGGAGACTATCCTCAAGGATGTCGAGGGTGATGATGACCGCACCTACTCTGCTTCCACCAAGACGAAGAAGAACCTATGAGACGGAAGGTTTCATTTTTGAAGCCTTTTTTTCGACCTTTGTTTTTATATTCCGGGTGTGGAGTGACGCGGGTATGCACGGTCGAGTCAGATTGGTCTTTCATTCTCGAGGACTTTACTTGAAGCTCAACTTTTGGCTGCTACGGTAATCCATACCCATCCACCCTCCCACAATTCACCATTCACCCTTCTTCCTTTTTACGTACATTACCATTAATCCCCGCGCTATGCACATCCCATACTCTGTTTTAATATTTTCCAAAAAAGGGCCTGGCCGGGTGGTCTGCGGGTCTACCGCATTATCTGTACATACTTCTTTTGACCATGGCGACCAGAATGCATTGTTACGATTGAAAGTTTATTATTATCTTTTATCTCTTATTTCCTATCTGCATTACATGTAATTTTCTTCTATATTCTGTATTTAAGTCAATTTCGACGAACAAATCTGTGATTTAAACCGAATAGAAAATTGTGTAATTTATGCTACATATCCGACATCGATCTTCGAGTAAGGCTAGCTGCATGAATACAATTTGGTATTTCCAAATCTGCATTCAAATGTAGTACACATCTATCATTCCCCCCTTCCCCCACAAGTTCACCACACAATCACACCAAATGATCGCCACCACGCGGTCACACAACACTCTAGTGTAACCATGTAACCATGTACCCAATACCCACGCTGGCAGCAGCTGCAGTCAGATGGTCAATTGTCACGCTATATGTAATGGGGTAAGCATGTCTTGCAGATATTCAGCTGCGCCGTAGCCACGACCGAGTGTCTTGCAGGAGTTATTCGTAAGTGCTAGGAATGGAAATGATGGAGCGGTCGTCGTGTTGACTATGTCATGACATGCATAGTGGAAAAGATATACTCAAGGCTGGCTCAATGATTATTCTTAGCCCATATGAATGGGCAATATTCTTCTCTCCGACCTGTAGTTTAAGCGTTTTTCAATAAGAATTAGATCGTTACCACTCATGATATGTGCTTATTGTATACTCCTGGCTGAGCCGCTGATCTTGTTGTATACAAGGAACTTCCTCTATCAATAAATCATGGTATATCACATTTTTCCCCTCCTCACAATAACACACCTCGATCCATCCCTCACATGAAACCCATTACTCAGGCAATCCTCCTCCGTATCAGGCCAAACCTCCACCTTCAACCCACCACCACCACCTTCACCTTCATTATCACCCTCACTCCCACTTGAATTCATCCCTTTCACCATCCCAACAACCCTCTCAGCCTGCATCCTATCCCCACACTCCAAAACCGTAATACGAGCCCGTACATCCAGCGATAACTCCAAGATCCGACGGTAGAATATATCCTCGGGTTTATCATTATCGCCTTCATCACCTTTTGAGCCGATTGAATGCGCTGTGTCGGTAGTTGCAGGTATGTCGATGGGTGGGACGAGTGCTAATTTCGGCTCGAAAAGCCGCACACTTCGTGCTGTTGTCCCGTTGTGAAAATCGGTGCTTGAAATGTAGGGTGGATTGGAGATTAGCAGGTCGATTTTGGGGAGTGTAGTTGTAGTCTCTGTGTGTTCGATTTCGGATTGCGTGGTGAGGTTGAGGTTGGATAGTAGAAGCTCTTCCACGGTGGGTATGGCGTTACCACTGGTGTCAATCCCATTGCTAGAGTTGTTGTTGCGCCTTAACACATCTGCACGATGAAACTCAACATCCACACGCGCACGACTATCCAAACCACCAAGCCGAATATTATGCTCCAGATTTCTCCGGGCAAGATTCAACGCTATTGGACTGATATCGACGCCCGTAATCTGGATCCGATCAAAATGCGACGCGAGGAGAGCGTGTAAAAGGAGGGCCATACAGCCTGTACCCGTGCATAAATCGAGGATTCGAAGGGATTTGGCCTTGTGAGGTTGTGATGGAGTAGGACTATTGTTGTCTTTTGTTTCTAGCGCCATTTGCCGGACTAATCTGGCTGCTTCATATGTATATGACTCCGTATCAGATCTGAGAAAGAATTAGCTTGCTTATCCCTTCAAAGTTGAGATGCTTATTTTTGCGAAAGCGGGTTTAATTCACACCTTGGGATTAACACACCCCGTCGACAGAGGATTTCTAGATCACCGAATGGTTGATCACCGAGTAGATACTGCAATGGGACGCCCTGGGAACGCCTGTGGCACATCGCTCGTAGACGTGTCCGCCATCCTATGTGCGTCCCCGTGACTTGGTCCTGGTCCTGGCGGAAGTGGGAGCGTTCCTGGGCGTCGCGGAGAGCGCGTTCCCGCAGCCATCGCAGTTCATTACGGGCTGAGTCTAGTGATCGACATTCTTTGAGGAGAAGGGGTAGAAGGGTGTTCTCTTGATAGGCCTTGAGAAGGAGTGAGGTCGAGAGGCGCGGCATTTTTTTGAGGTGTAGAGTTGCGTGGAGGTTGGTTGGTTGGTTGGTGATGCCAAGCGTGGACCCGCCAGTTCGTTAAGTTGCCTGGCTCCGGATGATCAACAACTAATGTACTCCGTACCTCTCAATGTCATGTTTCCACTACTGGTCACAATATAGTATATCAAATGGCATTGTTTGTAATATTGACAATCATTGAAATTCGTATCACGTTAAATGAGTGTAAAATATATGTACTCACGAGTAAAAACAAAACAAGACCAGGTATTCCTAGACTCCAATACACCGCAAAAACATGCAACGCGAAAGTTCTAACATGACAAAAATAAAAAAACCGAGTCCATCTGTTCAAAGTGCCAACAATGCTCCAGCACCAGCCAAGCCGAGGGCCAGGGTCCTGGGCATGCTCGTTTGCCGAGGCGTAGCGGCATTCCTCGATGAGAAGATACCGCTGCCTCCATGGGGACCGCCAATGCGCGCTCCAGAGCCTACGGCAGCCACAGTAGTCACTGGATTGGCGACGGCTGTGGCGCCAGGAACTGAGTCTGTGCCGGTCGTGATTTCGAGGACGTTGTTGCCCGTCGAGTCGAAGTTGGTGTTGGCTAGGGAAATCTCGTTGTTGGCTAGATCGTATACCACGTAGGCGCTACGCAGGAATGTATCGCCTAGGACGGACATGCTTTCACCGGCTGGGACGATACCAAATGCGCAAGCACGGTCGCCGTTGTCGTAGAAGTAGTCACCGATATCCAGAAGGAGTTCGCTCAGGGCGACGTTGATGGTGGGTGATGAGAAGGTGTAGGAGATGTTGACCTTATTCGAACTGCTTTTGCAGGGCATAAATCCAACTCCACTGGAGGAATCGTATGATACTTCCAGATCATTGAAGAGCCCCTCGACAATCACGTCTGGGAGATAAGTTAAAGAGCTGCCCGAGTCTAGTAGAACCGCTGCTGGTAGTGCCTTGGTCGTGTAGTTGGTGGTGCCGGAGGAATTGCTGAGAACCACGGAAGTCAGGGCAATTACAAACTCGGAGTAAACACCCCCAGCTTTCTGGATGGGGAGGGTCTCCAAGGTACCGTGGTACTTCTTAGTGTTCACTCCGCCGAATAGAATTGACCCAGTATTAGCATCCAGGTCGTTCAGCCACAAGCTGTAGGCGTTAGACTTGATCAGTCCTTTGTTGACCATGGCCTTGGGCAGGTTGGCGTAGGGACTTCCCCCGCTCACGCCAACTTGAACCTCGTTAGCTGGATATCCAATTCCCAGCACGCCCTCTACACGACCGCGATGTTAGCTCTCCGTTGTTGATAGTCACGGTGGGGGGTTCATTCCTGGTTTTCACATACCGCTGGAGCCTGAGTTGTAACCAATGCCGAATTGGAGCTCCTTCAATGTCGCCGAGCCAATGGTAACAGTCTCACTAGCATATTCACCCGAAGCACCGGAGCCATCCGCATAAGTAATGTTGAAATCGTTGTTCACAAAGGCGTATGATGACGAAGAACTAGAGTCATAGGTGCCAGAGTCGCTGCAAGGGGCGGTCTTCTTTTTACAAAGGGTCGAGTTGGGAGTATTGACCCATAGATCACTGCTGCCAGTATCCAGGACCAAACGCAAACTCTGCGCCGGGGTTCCCAATGTGACGTTGGAAAAGTAGAGGGTTTCCTACCATATATAGTCAGTTATATGCTAAGATAGTAGCAGATAAGAAAAAAAAAGGGATGTGGACTGTAGCATTATGCTGACCTACCTCATTGTCTAGAGCCTGTGAAACCGTTGAACTACGCTTCATCCGTCGTACTCGGTCTCGGGCCACGGGGTCCGAGACCTCTTTACGCTGGATACTCATGTCCACCACCGAGGGAACATCTCGCTGAACGAGAGTAAGCTTCCCGAGCGCCGGTGCGGCGAGGGTTGCCAGCCAAAGCCAGGAATTCTTCATTCTTGTTCGCCGTTGGCCACGGTATACCGAGCTCCCCAATATAAAATTATGAGATCGGCAAGCCTTTCACTTTTTTCGGATCGGCGCGATCTTCACTGCTGCAACTTCCCGAATGCGACGGAAATGGAAATTCGGGATCGCGTATATACTGTGTGGCTGTCGGGGTCGGTTTGAGATAGGAGGGGTATTCGAGGTAGGACGGCGAGTTAAAAGCCGGGGCAGGAAGAGTTGTGAAGAGGAGAGAAAAGCAGGGAAAGATGGAGTCTAATAGATCGAGAACATCGATGCGGCGGCTGTGTCGGAGAGGCAATGGATGTCGTATGCACTTCACCTTCCAAGACGGCACTAATGTGGTTTACAGGCCTGTTCACTGGGCGGCTTTGGCGCACCTCGGGCCAGCCGGGTAAGTTTGACAGGTTCATTTGGTGGAAATGGCCCAGTCAGCGGGCTCTGAGTGGACCATTGACTTTTTCTTTTTCGTTTTCGCAAGCGCTGTAAAATGACCGCGGAGTGGACGTGCAAGTCGCTCGGGTAAGGCGCTGGGGGATGTAAGAATTGGCCCCACCGGGTTGAGCTGTCGTCACCAGCTTATGGGCGTCTGCAACAGGAACTCTGACAGTTAGTACAGAGTATAGAGTGGAGAGTGTAGACTGCACTCCATATTCACCTGCCGTCGTACATATCTCTTCCCCCATTTGGCCATCATTATCGCCATTAGCCAGTCAGTCCCCGTGAGGACTTGAATGACCTGGGCCAACGGGAAATCCAATCTGGCGTACGTATGCAACGTACGTGGTTGGGTCGTGGGAGTGGTGATGACGCGGATGAGTGACGCTCCACTGCCACCGACCCGTTCTGGGTTTAGCCCCGTGACTAGCAGAGCCAAGATTCGAAGATTCGATCCATCGTTTTGCTTAATCGAGACTTCGTAACGGTTTTTATCCGAGGAACAATTCATCATTGAATGGAGTCGGTTGTCAGGTACAAATTTGCTATTAGACTTTGAATATCTTTTCTTCACCACGTGTATCGGGGGTTTTTAGTTAGTCCGGTCGATCTTCAAAGGATGTGATCCTATTGTAGGGAGGAGAATATCTTACATCATCATCTACACATAAAATTTTCGGTGACTGATCAAATAGACAAAACGTATACATTAGACCTTCTTCACTTCATATGCACTCCCTTTTTACCTCCCAATGTGGCTTGGACAGGTGTGGATAACATCCAGTACATACATTAATCATCTTCAAGACATTCTCCACTGATATTATTCTGGACCCTCTATACAGTACTACAGTACTGTATTACTGCTGCCTGTCTAAGATTCAGTTCCAGGGTCACCCTGCTGCATAGCCACGGCGGCAAAAGCTGACAGCCACCGGACCAGGCGGCTACATAACCAAACATGCGATCGATGGATCTTGCACCTACAGTATGTACCTTAAGCCCGGTCTTGATGACATTAGTCAGTCGTGGCAAATGCATTGGAACATGTGCATACACCTGCTAAGAATGGGTATGTTGATGTTCCAGCTCTTCCGGCTCCTATCCGGTGCTATTGAAAACTCTTACTATTCAGTACTCTGCATATCTATGTTCAATAGTTTATGCCTAGTCCACGTCATATGTACAGTAAATACTCGGGTGGCTGGTCAGGTCGCTAGACTCCCCACATTCATAAGGCTTAGGGTCTACTAGGCGGGTACAATAGAGTCCTTGGTACTGACCCCCTTTCACCTCTGAAACATTGGTCACTCAACTACCCCCTAATGGAGTATATCTTGCACCATGACGACACCCAAGCTAGTCTCATAGTGGAATCATTCAAGATGCAACTATTTCCTACTTGGGTACTTGTTGTACAAATATCCGATTATATAATACACGGTGTCTGCTGCTATTCACGAAAAGTTGCCAAAAGTGACAACCCTCCTCCAAAGCAGGCCACCACAGAAAAAGTAATGTTAGTACATAGTACAGGCGCTATCCACACTAAGCCCATCCATCTAGAGTGGACACGAAAATACAACTGTCTCAAATTTACAACCCCATCGCATCCCGAACCTTCCGCATAGTCACAGCAGCATTAGCCTGCGCCGTCTCCGCGCCCTGCTGCGCAATAGAATCCAAATACCCAGTCTTATCATCCATAATAGAGACATACCGCTCCCGAATATCCGTCAGATGATGGATAATTCGGCTGGCGACGTGCTCCTTCAAAGCGCGCAGGCTAGCGCCTTCGAATTCTGCGGCAATTTCTTGGCAGGACTGGCCTTCGAAGTGGCTCAGCATTTCGATTAGGTTTGAGACACCGGGTCGTTGGGCGGGGTCGTATGTGATATTAGGTTGGGAGTCGGTTAGGGCGACCTTGATTTTCTTTTGGATGGCGGCGGGGGAGTCGGTGAGGATAATTCGGGATTTTTCGTCCGCGTGGGATTTGGACATTTTGGATGTGGGTTCTTTGAGGGACATTACTCGCTTGGCGGGGGCTGGTTGATGTTAGGCCGGGTGATTACTTCTATCGGGATGGTAAGAAGGGGGAGACTTACAGATATGGGCCTCTGGGATGGGGAAGATTGGTCCGTAGAGGTGGTTGAAGCTGTTGGCTGTATATCGCGAGAATTCCAGATGTTGTTTCTGGTCCTCGCCAACGGGAACATGTGTTGCCCTGTTATTAGATGTGGTTAGTGATGCACTTATTCGTATCACATAGACATATGATCCCACCTATGAACAAGGATATCCGCGGCTTGGAGCACAGGATAAGAGAAAAGACCGAGCCGTAGCTGGGCTCGGGCATCTGCCTGCTCTAACGTTGTGTCCTCTGGTAAATGAAGCTTACTCTGCAAAAAGTCTGTCAGCAGCCACTTCCAACATTTCTGGCTATCCCCATACGTTCTCCAAGAAGAGGCGAACCACTAACCTTCCATTGGGTCATTCGTGATAGATAACCCATCGAAGCAACTGTACTCAGAATCCACATCAACTCCGCATGTGCCGGAACCTAGCATATCTCATTAGCACTCCCATCCGTTCATTCATTCTCTAGTCTATCCCCAACATCTTCCATGACAAAGCACTCCAGCCACCACATACCTCAGACTGATAAAAAACCGTAGACCGACTTGGATCCAATCCCACAGCCAGCAACGTAGCAAAAGCCTCTCTCCTCCATTTCCTCAATTGCGCCGCATCTTGCGGAACCGTCAATGCATGGAGATCCACGATGGAAAACAACAGCTTCGTTCCCGGCTTTGCTTCATCCTGTAGCTTCACCCATTCCCGCAGAGCCCCTAGGTAGTTACCCAGATGTGGTACTCCCGTCGGCTGAATACCGGAGAAAATGACGGGTTCTTGAGTAGGTGGGACATTGCTGCTCGTGCTGTTGGATCGATGCCATTTGGATAGGGACGGCCTGATTGATGTGGTCGGGCGAATGCGGGAGAGTTGCCCGCCCACCGATCTTAGGGATGCACTTCCCTGATGGAAAATGGTGGCACTCATCGCTGGTCAATATATGTATGCGTCGCAGAGTAAATGCGACGATTAGGCCAGGTGCAATTCTTCATGGACTTCCGTGCCTCCGCGCCGCAAAAACAGGCCATTTGTCGTCACGTGATTGCCGTCGAGATGTGAAGGTTGATAAGAAATCAATCACTCCTTTACAGACGATAAATGTCGACTGATATAGGTTACTCTAGTAGAGAAGTCATTTAAGATTCCAACTAATGAGTCTAGTGCTTGCTCAACCTGACCATTCGGTAAACAACCATCACAAAAAGCAGACTCCGATTCTTCGTTGGGAGACTGCATAATCAAAGTAGAATACAAACGGGCCTGGCCAGAGCCACAAAAGGCCAAAGATAATGACGATAATATAAAACTACATGACGCCCTGGTGTTTTCCCAAAATAAAACACACACGAATTATGCAAAGCTCAAGCAACAAACCAACATCTCCGTGCCAATTTACAGGTTCTTGGGCTCAACGAATCGCTCGCTGTCCAGAGAATCGAAGATGGTCTCCTTGACAGAGTTGTCCTGTCGTTGTCCGAACTGTGCGAGGTGGGGGCCCACGGTCTTTTGAATCTCGGGGAGGGAGGCATCAAGTGCCTTGGCGGCATCTATTTGGATGTATTAGTCTGGCGTATCCCGATAGAAATTGAAGTGAAATCTTGAGGATCATCTTACCCAGGCTCTCATTCTCCCAAACATTGGCCTTCATACCAACTCCATGGAAGGCGTGTTTCCGAAGGAAAGCCAACCATGCTTGGACCGCCTGCGGGTTACCATCCTTGATCTGGATCAGACGACGAAGCGTGATCCGCTCAAAGTTCTCCTTGCTCTTCTTGTGTACGAAGTTACTGCGAGTCACGGTCCAGCGTTCGGTGATACGGGGGAGGGGCACGGGGCCGGAGACGGGGAGGTTGAGGTAGTAGGCGGCACGGATGGCAAAGTCGGCGAAGAACTCCAGGTTCTGCACGCTGTAGGATCGCAGTTGAAGGTCGCATACAGGGAGGCCGTGCTCCGCCTTCCTCCGGAGGGGACGCAGGTAGAGTGCTTGGACGCTTCGGGGAAGTCGGGCGTGTTCACCGAAAGCTCCTAACCGTTCGGACCTGTGGTATGAGTGAGCTACTGGGCTCGTGGATTGTGGGAGGGTAAAGACAAGGCGATTGACTGACCATTCCTTCACGGGCAATTCGGCGGGTTGCTCGGCGGCAGCGGGACTGTGGTGAGATATCAATTCCATTAGCCGCTCTGCTCCAGGCACAGGTATTCTCTAGGTGTTCACGGCTTCTTACGCGACAGGTGTGGGAGTCGGCTCGGGCTTGGTCTGAGAAGGTGTAGTCGCCTGCTCGGTGGATGGCGCATTGGGCTGGCTCGGGGTTGATAGTGAGCGAATGGGGATAGGCACCTGTTTCCGAGACCGTGAGCTTAGTTTCAATGGTGATATTTCAATTGCAAGCATTGCACCTACCCGCAGGCGCTTGCTAGCCCCAATCAAGGAGCGCGTTGTGCTGGGAAACATGGTTGATGGGAGTTGCAGTCTGTTTGATGCGGGTTTTTTTTCGGAGTTCGAGGTGATGCGGACTGACCGCCTTGCGTGTCGACCATTGGGGCATCCTCGAGGGCACCCACGGCTACAACAAGCATCATCCAAGGCTCGGGTTTTTGATTTGTATGGTTTTCTGGGGTTGCAGTATGTGCTAGGCTTGAATATACTATTTTTGTAGCTTTTTAGCTTACATTAGTGCATCAGTTGGGGTCGTGTATAGTTGTGATATATACTGGTAGTGATGCTAGAGTTTAAATGTGACTAGGCCCTCAATCATTGAAGGCCCGAACAAATGCACCGGGTCACTGCAATAGGTTTATGTACTATCAAACTATATACTACATTTAAGCAAAACTCCAGTATAAAACAACATCACGACCAATATAATCAGTATATCCCCAACTAACAAAAGGGTAGCATCGGCTCTCCAACAACGAACCAATAAGACCGCACACCAACTCCGCAGCATCAGAACAGCCCACCCCACCCCCTCCCTCACATCCAATTTTTTCTCTCTTTCCATAGACATATCACCGCAAATAAATCAGAAATCATGACTCAATCGAATACCTCCGCCTTTGATCGAGCCAACGAGGCCGTGACTTTCCTCAGAAGTCGCCTGCCAGAGGGCCTGCAGTCGCCTAAAGTTGCCATTGTATGTGGCTCTGGATTGGGCGGACTGGCCGATACGGTCCATGCTGAAGGGCGAGCGGAATATGATTATGCTTCGATTCCGCATTTTCCTCGTCCGACGGGTGAGTCAATATTCAAGATGATTGATGCAGAGGAGATGTAGGGAGAAGGGGAGTGGCTGACTGGTGTAGTTGCCGGACATGCTGGGAAGCTGGTCTTTGGGCTGCTGGGTCAGAAGATCCCTGCTGTCTTGATGGTTGGTCGTGCTCAGTGAGTGATTCTTATGGGGAATGGGTTGGATAGATTGTGGCTAATTGGAGTGGACAGCTACTACGAGGGCCATTCTATGGATCAAGTTACTTTCCCGATCCGAGTTTTCAAGCAGCTTGGAGTTGATACCGTCGTGTGTAAGTCTATACCTAAGTCTATGCCGAAGGCTTTGACAGGTGTTTTACAAGAGGAAGAAACTAATAATCATGATTGGCAGTGACAAATGCGGCCGGTGGCCTGAATTCTGACTATTGCGTGGGCGATATTGTCATGCTCAATGATGCAAGACTGCTATCAATCCCTTTCTATCTGAACCAAATGGCTAACGGTAACTAGCACATCTTCCTAGCTGGTCTAGCGGGAGTTCATCCCCTCCGAGGACCCAACGAGGAAGAGTTTGGAGTCCGCTTCCCACCTCTCTCCGACGCTTATGACCTGGACCTTCGTCGTCAGGTACATCAAGCGTGGAAGCAGGTCATCCCTGCGCAGAGCACGAGGAAGTTGCACGAGGGAGTGTATGCCTTTGTTGGAGGACCCACGTGAGTGTTTCTCTTCCCGTGCATCCGATGATATATCTGACTCGACAAAGCTATGAGACAAGAGCGGAGAGCCGAATGCTGCGGATGCTCGGTGCCGACGTTGTGGGCATGTCGACCGTGCCAGAGATTGTGGTGGCGAGGCACTGTGGCCTTCGTGTTTTGGCGTTCAGCCTGGTGACCAACAATGCAGTGTTGGCACCTGTCCCTCGGGGCGATGAGCAATTGCTCCAGGGCAAAGATGCTGGTGAGCTGAATGCCATCATCGAAGAAGGAAAGGCTGGACACGAAGAAGTCCTAGAGGCTGGCCGCAATGCAGCATTGGACATGCAGGTGAGATACATTGTCCCCGAGAGTACCACCGAATCAACGACTGACAAATGCAGAAATTGGTATTGCAAAGTCTCGTGCACGTCTTCGGAGAAGCATAGACGGCGACGTTCTCAACTGAGAACACACAAATGCCGCCACACATGTATAGTTGCTGAATGATATAGACCCTCAGACCATGGACAGAGCAAAGCGACCGGTAGAGTGGTCGTTCTAATCTCATCTGATCTTCCGATTTCTCTTGGCTTGCAAGTCCTTGTAGAAAGCCTTCTTTCCACTGGTCTTGGTGGCTTGGATGTCGCGGTACTTGGACTCGAAGCGTCTGTTCTGCCGCTCCAATGCCAAGGCCTCCTCGACAAAGTTCTTCTTGCGATCCTTCTTGGCGATACGACCGCTGAAGAACTCGGTGGGACCCTGGATGATGGTGCCGACCTGCGAGAACTCGGGAATCTTGGCCTTGCCATTCTCCTTCTTGTAGTGTCTCTTGGGATCCAGGACCGAACGCATCCGAATGAGTTGCAGATCTCTTTTGAGCTCCGGGGTCAAATCGGTCTTGGGAAGGTTGAACCAATCGGGTCCGGCGGTAACCTTATCCTGTAGAATCGACCAGTTAGCGAATGAAGATCGTAAAAGTGTCGTTTCCGAAAATCAAGATGATATTTGTGTGGATGCTCAGAGTAACTATGAAAATGAAGCTCTCACTATTGCAGCACAGCCCAAGACGGACTGAGGACGCTGCATCAAGCGCTGTGCGTTGGGAAAATTTTCCTCATAGCAAGAAAGGGGGCGAAAGGAGATGACGAGGATGGTAGACTAACCTTCTTTGCAGCAGTCTTTGTAGCAACAGACCGAATGGTGTTCGACAGCTCCTTCTGCTTGGGATCAATGAGCTGGGCCGAATCAACGGTAGCAATATCCTCGGCATCAGGACGCATGTAGGGCGCCAAGGTAGAGCTGGTGGACAATTTGGGGATTCTAGACACATGTTAGCCAAGATGATCTCTAGCATAAATTGTTAGCAAGGACAGCATACCTCAAAGAAGCGGCGTCGACCGGGGCGATCTGGGTGTCTGAGCCACGCAGTCTGTTCTCTGCTTCCAGCAACAGTTGTTGAATCTGGTCATCAGTGAGCTCCTCCTCTTGAGGGGCAACACTAGACCCCATTGTAGTTGTATCACCCATCCCTGCGAGTCAGGGTGGAAGGTCTTGGAGAATGAAGAAGAGCTGGAGTAAGTGGGCTTTATAGGAATTTTTTTTTCTGTTGATGTTCCGTCGGTGCGGACAAACTTTTACCAGAAATCTTTTTCGGAATGGCTGGTATCAGGTGACTGCGGAAGTTACGGGTACTTTGCCAGCAAAGGAAAATACACCTGATATCAAGTACCCAATACTTGCATCAAGACTCGTAGGGTAGCTGATAGGGTCTCACGAGATAGTAATGGTCTAATTGCGACTGGAAAATAACCAATTGAGTATTCAAAGCTACAATTATTCATGTCAATTCCATCTAGGACTCAACCTAGTCGTAGAAAGTGTAGCCAATCAGTAGTACAGTACCTGCATACTCCCAGGACTCGAACTTGGGCCGACACGGGCGCAACTTGGGAGCGGGGGCCTTGTCCAAGAACGTCAGACAGCTGAAAGAGCATCACCTCCACGCCTGGCACCATCCCGACGCGCTCGCGACAACAACACTTTGAAGACGCGCTATATATATTGCTGATCGTTCCTGCCTGTGCGGTCGATATAGAACGCTTCGCGAATTCCTTCTTCTCTCCGATAAGCCCGCAGCCCGCAGCTCGTCGCTCGTCGCGTCGCATCCTCGGAGCACACCAAGCAGCTCTCCCCGAGATCTGCCCGATTACATTTCCCACCGTCCTCTTGCGGGTAACGCGTTTGTATCACCATGGAGCCCGCGCCTCAAGGTAGTGGCCAGCAAGGCAGACAGCAGCAGCAGCAGCAACAGCCTGTCTACGATATCAGGAATGGCGGACACTACGGTATTTGAGCCCCCCGGAGTGATAAGGCGGTGATCGCATAGCATCGGATCAGGGCCCAATGCCTCATGAGAACATGCGATACGGTTATCATCATTGTCGCGTTTGTCTTTTGTTCTATACTGACTATTCCTGCAGGTGCTAGTGCAGCGGTATGCCCTAATCCAGCCCGAGCCCAATCCGAGTCCTCTGACCGATCGATGCAAGACCCCGTGGACCACGAAGCTAACTGGATTTTGAATGTGATTAGCTCTCTGCGCAAGGATATGCTCCAGTTGCTGAGCTGTACACCGGAACCTGGGCCAATGTGAGTCGCTAACCCGAGAAATCAGGTAGTATTCCCATCACTAACACACAACAGGTGAACCAAGGTCTGCAGGGCACAGCTCGCGATATCTTGACAACTTACTGGCAGCATGTCATCAATCACCTCGAGACAGACAATCACGACTACAAGATTCACCAGCTACCCCTCGCTCGAATCAAGAAAGTCATGAAGGCAGATCCCGAGGTCAAGATGATCTCCGCTGAGGCCCCCATCCTGTTCGCTAAGGGCTGTGACATCTTCATCACCGAGTTGACAATGCGAGCCTGGATCCACGCCGAAGACAACAAGCGCCGTACTCTCCAGCGCTCCGACATTGCCGCTGCCCTCTCCAAGTCGGACATGTTCGACTTCCTGATTGACATCGTTCCTCGTGAGGAGGCCACCTCCCACGCTAAGCGCTCCAGCCAGGCTGGCGCCACGGCACCGGGTCCCGCTGCTGCTCCCGGCCAGATGGCATCTGCCCAACATGGTGTTCAGCCGCACATGGGCCCCGCAGACTACGGTTCCATGTCCCAGCACGGTATGACACAGGAGCAGGAGTATCGCCAACAACAGGCCATGTACCCCGGTGCAGTCCAGCAGGACCCGACGGCCGCGTACGGTCAGCCACAGCCTCAGATGTTCGAGGGGATGTACGGTTACCCCCATATGCCGCCTCAGCAGGTTCGTAACACCTCCCTACTCGCTGATACTGCCTTCCTGGCCAATGTGAGAGACTAACATCATTTAGTGAGCCTCTAAAATCGAGCACAATTGATCATTCAATATCTTGACTCGAAAGTTACGCGTGCCTTCTCTGGCGAACACTGGGCTTTTTTGGTTGTTTCTGATTCTTTATGTTTTGCCCTCGTTTCCCCTGTCTAATGGACATTTGTTCTTCGTTCTTCTATTTCTTGCCAAACTAGGGCAAATCTGATACCTGTAGTTGGAAATGGGAAATAGGATGTGATTCGGTCCAGAATCGCAACTGGAGTTGATATTATTCATTATTTCTTTCTTTGAATCGGATACGATTACATCGAGATTGCTTCGTACTCTGCTAAAGCCACTGGGAATCTAAGAGCCAGGGAATTTCGGACCAACCCGCCAAGCAGAATCCTCAAAGCACGTCAATGTGTGTTTGCCGGATCATGAGGACTTCTTGAATCGCGCGGACAGATTCACGAATTTGTCCACCTTGGTTGGTACTTGTACCGTTCGAGTTAACCTGAGGTAGGGGTCAGCAAATGATTCAAGATAATAACAGGAAATAATCGTACTTCTCAAGCAAGACAGGACCTTGCATGGCATCAACACGTCCGTATTTTTTGTTTCGGGTTGAGATGTCGTAGAACTCGTCCGCATTATCCGCTTGCATCAACTGCACCGTTTGTTGTAGCTCGTCGAGGTTCTCACGCAGGATAGGGACATTCAGGCTGTCAACGAACTGTGTAAGGTATTCGACATCCTTGGCCAATGCGATGACACCATTGGGATTGATGGTCCTCACTTCGGGAGCGAGAGGTTGAGCCTTGAAGGAAAGTTAGTGAACATGATATTTGATAGAATGCGGTGTGATGGGCGGGGAGGGAAGGATTTACCAAGATCATGTTTGCGGCATGACTGAGCGCGTCAAAATAGATCAGCTCTTTGATTTCGGTGGGCAACCCGAGCAAAGTGGAGTTCATAATGTTGGACAGGAACCGTGTCAGGGTTTGCATGTAATTGCTTGGTTCGGTGGGAGGGTGAGGTGCCATCCATTCATATTCTGCAGTTTCGATGAGATCGTCAATCTTGGAGTTGACCACCTCGAAGATCCGCTTCTCGGCGGCCTTTTTGTTGCTTTTGAATTTCTCGGTGGCCCTCAGCGCGATGGAGGTACCCGTCGAGTTTTGTGACCGCGCGGCCGCCAGGAGGAGTTCCAGTTCATGGCAGGCCAGTTCAAAGTGTTCCAGGTTGATCAGGATCTGAACGATTTGTCCGAGATACTGTGAGGAAAGGCGCTCCACCAGGGTATCGCAAACTTTTCGTGAGAGGAGGTCATCCAGCGCCTAGTTGTTGAGATTAGTATTCCGTGTCCAAACTCTGTCTTGCTGGATGGCAGCCACTCACGTCCTTTAATGTCTCATCAATCACATCGGGGTGAGAAAAGTCGTCATTTGCAAAGAAGTAGAACTGGTTCAAGAAATTTCGGATGTCGATGCAGCACAAGGGATACATCCTTGAGAATGGCAGGATGCAGGGGAAACTGTTTCGTGAGTCAGTTTGTGAACGGCCACGTGGTAGTGGATTTGGGTATGACATACACTTGTTCCTCCCGGGGCTTTTCAGGACTGTACCAGCTCACGTTGAGCACCTTGTCATACTCCTCTAGAGTCTGAATAGGCATTGGCATGTAGTCATCCGTCGATACGATCTATGACGCGTTAGTACTAGAGGGCTTTGCGTATTGTCAAAAAGGTCGTACCTCTTGAAAATCATCACTGAACCGCCTCTTGAGTAGCTCCGCATATTTTTCAAACAACTTCAATAGGAAGTCATCAAAGACTCGGACGGAAAAGCCCCATGTCTGTTTGTTTTTTCGACGAGTCAGCGAGTCAGCGAGCCAACAAGTCAGCGACCCAGGTCGGTGCCTAGGCCGCGGCGGGAGGGGAATGGGAGGACCCGCTTACATTCATTGTCTGCATGAAGAGCGCAATCAGATTTTTCGTCTTCAGAATACTCTCCGCATTATCGACTTCGTGCAGCGCTTTGGCTATTACACCAACCGCAGCCTGGCATGATGAATCCCACAGTTCGTCAATCTACAATGCAAGTCAGCAAAGCCCATCGTGGTCGAATTCGAGCGATTGAGGATAAATCTCGGGGGGGGAGGCAACCACTCACGTCAACAGACGACCTAAGGTCTGGCACTCGTTTCATCGTTGCGCGCTCAACAATCGCAAAGCCTGCCATTTCCTCTAGCATATTGTGAAGACTGGCGCCATCCTCATCTACGAGCGTGACGGACGCAGGAAGCAAAAGATCTTTTTGTCGACGCCGTGTGTTCGCATACTCGATCCTAAACTTGTCCATCTGCCCCAAGGACTGATGGATATGCAAGCACTCGAACAAAGGCGCAAATGGTACCTGAAGATCTTCGTTTTGGAGAAGATCGTACTCTTCGTCCTCATCCGCCACAAGCTCAATCGCAGAGTTCAGGTTGAAGTTTTCAAGGTATGGGATTTTCTCCGCGCGTTGCTTGAGTCTTGACTTGCGCTGATCCGTGTGAAACAAAGCCAACTCTCCGAGAAACGGAGACATCTCCCGAATGCGATACAGCCACGTGTTCAGGTCAGACATGACAGCTTCCGCAATGGCCCTTTGAGTCGCAGGCACCGATCGTTGAATCATTTCCGCGATCTTGTACTGGGTGACACCCTTGAGATGCACATTTTGTAGCTCCTCCAGCGCACGCAAGGCGGCATAATGGTTTTTCTTGGCTAGCAGGTCGTGGACCTGATTCGCCAATCGCAAAACCTCGAGACAATCTTGAATCGCGCGCGACGTCTCGTCAATATTTTGTCGATGGCTTCGAGACTCCACCAATGCCTTCTTCTGTTCTGCCAGGCGCTCGGTACTCGTTTGGATCGACTGGTTGAGATCAAGAATCTCCGCAGTGAGGGTGACAGTGCCTTCTCGGATGCGCAGGAGGGAATTGACCGAAGAGACGAAGTCCTGATGGTTGGTATTGCAAATGCTCTCGATCTCTGCCTCCTTGTCACTTGCAAATCGCGATAGGGACTGGAGTAGCTGAGGAGTTCGATTGCCGACGCTGTACTCGCGAATAGAGGGGATGAGCTGGTCAAGATAATCGGTGTCCGAAGGCGAAATGATGATCTAGGCGCGTCGTCAGTATGTACAATTCCAGCCTCTTCAGAGACACAGCTGACTTGATTTAACACCCCAGTTCCATTATGCAGAGCCATCTTTCCGGTGAGCCCGCTGCTCGTGCGGTGTCCCTGTTGCTGTGGAACGTCGGTGACGTTCGTTATCGTTATCAGAAGAGCGTTAGCGTACGGACCTCCCATCAGATCCTTTCCCGATCTTTACTAGCGTGCGCACGGGCTATATAAAAGTATAAAAATCAAGCCCTAATTTTGGAGCACTTAAATACCATCTTCCAACTTCGCAACTTGCAATATGAGGATATGAGGAGCGTGAAGGGGGAGGAATCAAAACAAACGAGAATGAATAAAAGCCGTTTGAAAATTTGTGAGATCCGGTAACTCAATTCGGGACCCCTCCTATGTTTTTTGCCCCATTACCTTTCCAGATCTACATGGACTAACAATACATGATAGTTCCATATGCTCCTTTGCCAGAACAATGCCCAACTCTTGGGATGAATACTGGTAACATATTGAATGCATCTCATACATGATGAAGTGCTCTATTCTTGCCAACTGGCCACCATCTCGCCGCAGTTTCTTCTGCTATTCCACCATATTTTCCGTTTTGGTTCTACAAGATTCCGGCGGCAGATGTGGTCCAATGAAAGACCTCAAGTATCGCATCGTTGGCATTGTCCATAACTGCGGACCCTTCGCTGCCTTGCGCCTTTCAATCAGCCAATCTGGCAACTCGAACTCCCATCTTTGGCAATTGTTCACGAGGCGGGTGCAATCGCTGCCTTGCGCCTTGTCTCGGCCAATCTCGCGACTCGATTCGAGCATGAGACCGAGTCATCAGTATCTCTGGCCAAGAAGCCGCCGACTAATCGATTGCTCTCGGGGGTGAATATAAAAGTCTCCTCCTCCTTCTCCGATCCTTCCTCTCCTTTCTCCCCTCCACGGCTCTGCTCTTCTTCGTATCCGTGGCTCCCTTTCTTCTTCACCCTCTTTCCCCTCGCTTTCATCCGGGTTCATCTTGACTGGGCTGAAAAGCATCTCACTCATCTACTCTGTCTCTCTACATACACATATCTGACGCATCTTCATCGTACTCATCGGTTGACGAGACCATCGAACGAGCCTTCGACTCACCATCAAGGTCTCTTCGAGTTCCGGTAAGTTGATCTCATCTCCTCGTTGATCCCCATTCATCTGCCTTCCCTGCTTCGACCTCATCGTGTCTCTTGCCCTGATCGTGACTGTCGTCGGATTCACCGGTTGACTACACTGTCGACTCGGTGCCGACGCGTCGTTAAGGTCGGGCTTGAGATTCGGTAAAGCTGCCCCAATTTCTCGTTAAGACTCTGGCAGACCCCGCTGCGAACATCATCCCTATTCATCATCCTACCTGTTCATCATCTAACAATTCAATTCAGGAATCATGAGTGACAATCACCCCGAGGGAATTCCGCCCATTCCGGGCTTGGGATCTCAGGGCTACTCCATGCCTCCAGCAACTCCTCGCCCTCGCCCTGCTGTTTGGCCCTCTCGAGTCTTTCCCGTCATTCCTCTTGTGTAAGTTACTTCCTTCTACTTTATCACTTTACTCATGACATGTCACGACACTTGAATGTATCTATCAAGTGTATCAAGTCTTGTTGTGAAAATTTTCCAAGATTGATACATTTGTATCAAATTCATACAATTTTCCGCCATCTTCCATACTTATTCAACTTGAAACAACAAAGCTAACAGCATCTACTAGGCCTATCCCATCGGCACGGACTAAGGATGACAGCACTTCGGAGCGCCCATCAACTCCCGCTCCGGTTGATGATGACTTGTCTGCTGGTGTTTCCTGCCGTCTCAATGAACGCACTCAGGGTGTCAGCATTTCGGAGACTCAATCAACCCCTGTTCCATCTGTTGATGAATTTTTCGATAAAACTTTCCCCCATCGCAATGAACGCACTCAGGGTGTTAGGATTTCGGAGAATCAGGCGACTCCTGCCCTACTTGATGATGACTGGCTCGCTCGAGCTTTCCCCCGTCACTATGAATACCCTTGGACCCAGCGGCAACCCACTGCTGCGGAGCTTTGGCAGCAACAGTCATCTCGTGCTGAAGTGGATGATAACCCTTATTCTCTCGCCCATGTGCCTCGCCGTGATACCCAGTCACAGTATCTGGCTACTCCTGTCCCGGCAACTCCTATGAATCGAAATCTCGGTGTTCGCCAAATGGCTGCTGCGACTCCTGTTCCGACAACTCCTATGAACTTCAATCTCGGCGTTCGCCAAATTGCTGCTTACGATCCTGCCGGCTCTGTCTTTGATGAGGCCTCCATTCATCAGCCCCGACTGCTCGCTGAAGGATTCATTCCTGCTGGCCAGATTCGTCCTCCTCCTGGGCTTACTCATCCGGACATGGCGCATCCTTCCGATTCTCCTCTGACTGTCCGACCCAGCCATCCTAGCCCTGGTCATGTTCGGTCTACTCCTCAGGTCCACTCTCAGAGCCTTCTGCCCTATTCACCCCCTACTCCGCGAACCGTCCCTCGTCGCTTCCGTGTGGCAAACATTGATACCGACACCGACCCTATGTTGGCCCTTCAAATTGCCCAGGTATGTAATTACAAATTATGTCCAATGAGTGATGAATGCTAACAATGAGATCAGCACTTCAAGTCAGCGATCGGTCCGTTCGTCACAGAGTTGAACACCAAGGGTCATTTCTACATCGGCTTTGATGATCTTAACGACGCACTTAAATGGATGGACATGATCCAGAGGGCGCAAATCGGATGGCATGTGTATCCCCTGTCGGTGGATGAATTCAATGATGCCACTAGACTGCCCTTCCCGATTTCTGCGGATCTGGACGATGTGGTGATTGTTACCGCTTGGTGCGGACCACAGTCTCCTGTGAAAGTTTCGAACGTCGTGGATCATGTGTTGCCGTTCCTGCAACTGGTTGGAGTTGTTTACTCGGCTGTGGTTCTGCCTGGACAAGAGGATTACCCTTTGATGGTCCGGTACTATGAGGTGGAGGTCAGATACCGCCAGATCCAGTCGGCTCTCAACGCAATCAGGGCCCTGAACGGGATTCGCGATGCTGTATGTACTACAGACAATGGTTCTTTTTGATGTTGTGGACGAAACAATGCTAATCATACTGCTCAGGTCCTCGTTCTCGAAGTGATGCCTCCCGTGGCCGGTAGTCACTTCGCCACCACGTCCAAGGCCCGCCACGACTACGAAGCTGGCATGAAGGGTAGCTGGAGAGGGTCTGTCCGCCGTACCCCCAAGACCCCGGCGAAGACTCCCGGCCGCCGCGGCACCAACTCGGGCCGCCCCCCGTTACGCCCCGGACCCCCGTCAGCGGTCGTGACGACCAAGAACACGCGATCGACCTGAACAAGATCGCGTGCGGCACTGATGGCCGAACAGCCGTAAGTATTCGTTCGTGAGATATCATACAAAGGATGTTTGAAAGCTGATCGGTTGTTCTTGATATAGATCATGTGCCGCAACATCCCGAACAAGATGACTTGGGTAAGTCTTGGTTTCCTGGTTGTTTATGATATTGGATCATGAAAAACTAACCATTTTTTTAGAGAGAATTCAAGTCCGTCTTGGACATGTCGAGCGCCGGGCGCTACGACTATGTCTATCTCCGAATTGGTAAGCCATTGGTCTCTCTTCCTCCTCACCTCTCATGGAACAGATGGACTAACGTGCTTTCACCCCCATTACTAGACTTCGGAGCCAACCAGAAGTGAGTTTTTGAAAAACAAAAAGTGGCTTGAATCAAACACTAACCCCGTTTTTACCATTTTTACAGCGTCGGCTACGCGTTCGTGAATTTCGCGACGGTGAGTGATGGTCTCTATCCCTTCTGAAGTATGTAACACTCACTGACAGTTCTCTTAGCCCGCCGACATCGCGACCGTGAGCCTTGGATCTGGGCATTCTTGAAAAAAAAATGGTACTGACACTGGTTTAGTTTGTTCGGGCCCGTGCCGGGCGTACCTGGCCTGGCTTCGAGCGATTTACTGGAAAAATCGCCGAAGCCAGTTATGCTGGTAAGAACTGCTTCCATTGATGATTTTACCATCCGATGATTGATCTAATCTTTATATCAAACAGATGTTCAGGGATTGAGCACCCTGATCGAGCGATTCCGGAATAGTCCGGTAATCCTCAACCACCCGGACAACCGTCCAAGAGTAAGAACCATTGCTCTCTCCTGTGTTGAAGATATTGAACAGAATACTGACCTCCAATTCAGCTGTTCCACACCAGTGGACCCAAGACCGGCGCGGAGGCGTTTTTCCCGCTGGTCAGCAATTTCTACACCCTGTCGATGGGTGTTTTCCGCAGCCAGGTTGATGCTGGTTAGTTCACCTTACCTCTACCCTGACTTCTTCCATCGGTTACTGATCACTCTTCATAGGTCTGCGCGGGGCTGAGACCCCCACCGCCACCCGCAGGGCTGGCCGACCTCGACTTCCCCCCCAGCCGAGGATTACCCCACCAACAACTAGGTGGCGGTTCGACGACCCCGTTGCCCCGAAGCCCGGGCTCATCCCCCCCCGTGGCTGAGGGATGAAACAATTGTTGGAGTTGGTGTTGGAGTTTTCGGTGTTGGAGTGAGTGGATGGACGGGTGGGAATTTTTTTTTCTTGCGCGCGGGTTTCTGGATTTTTGGGATTTTGGGATTTTGGGATTTTTTGATCCATTTTCATTTTCAGTTTTTAGTTTTAGTTTTTGTTGAATTGACGATCTGGGATGCGGTTTCATCTTGGTCGTCTCTGGGTGTTCTTGGTTGGCTCCGGCCGCTAAATTCGCCTGTTGAGATGACCTGGCTGTGACCCGGATCTTTCTTTCTTCAACTTCATTTATGGGCGTTTAGGTTTTTCTTTGTAAAGGGCAGGTCAGTTGAAACTGCCCGATTTAGCGTATGGCGTGCGTTCATCTTGTATGTATGTACTTGTCGACTTTATCGTTATCGCCAACCTTACATATCAGGGCGGACTTGGCATTTTCGCCCGCGGAGCCAGCGGAGACACCCGCAAAATTGTGGACTCCGCCATTTTCTCGACTCAACTTCGCGCCTCCCGGCTTCCCACGCCATGGATACCCAGGAGATCCAGGCAGTACATGCGGTACTGCATCTGGTCTCTCATCGCAACAAGAACCAGCACCAACGGGCAAATTGGTGGAAGTGGCTCTCCCGGCTGAAGCGCACAGCTGTTGAGCTGGGATCGCAAAACGCGAGTGCCACGATTCCAGCTGCTTACAAGCAGTATCTTTCTACACATCTGATTCCAAGGTGTTATTTGTATGTATTGCTCTCATCTACGTGTGCTGAAAGGACCCTGGCCACCGACAAGGGATCTGCTGCTAGAACCTGACTAACAATCCCGACAGGGCATTCTCTACTGTGATTGCCGAAAACCAGTTTTCGACACTGGGAATCGTACTGTTGGCGACGTTGTCCCGATTTGCCAAGGCAACGGGGATAAAGTTTGAAGAGGAGACGCGCCAGCGACCGCAGATGAAGAAAACTCTGTCTGCTCCACCCACTGAGGATCGTGGAGAACGCGTGAGCCGTGCTGATATTGGCGTGGTGCCTTTATCAGATCAAGGACCTCAAGTCTCTCAGAAGGCGTCCGAAAAATCTACTTCTGTCAAAGCGCCTGCCATCAAAAAGACGAAAAAGACCAAAAAGAAGAAGAACGCCATTGATGATCTATTCAGTGGTCTATTCTAAACACGGCAGCACGGCACTCGTCCTGTTCGTACAGTACTACGGGTCACATTCAGCGTACATGTGATATGAAATGGTCTATTGCACTAGATTTGAAATGTCTCATTTCCGAGACCGAAGAAAAGAAAGACCAGCACCGCCCAGCAGATTCACTGCAACATGGTTGGCTGTCGCCCATGCCATCGTATACAAATATTTGGGCGAGAACACGGTCCAAATGAACAGATGTGTCCGCAGGGCAGTACACGCTGCCATGACGGACATCAGTGAAGTGGCGATGTGGAATGTGAGCAGCGAAGCTGCGTTATGATCCTCCGAGCCTTGTTGGGGTCGAAGCAAGTGGCCTGCAGAAACCCACCAGATTGGGCCCGCCCAGTTGCTAACGAACGTCAAAATTCCTACCATCACTACGCTGTAGCTGCCGACACCGTTGTAGGCACTTGAAAGATCGACTGAGGAGATCGCGTTCGAACCTCCAAATGCAAAGAAGGTGGTGTATTGGAGGATCAAGGTTGTGATGGTTACCTCGATTCCTGACAGGTTCATCGAGGACAGTGTCATGGCAGCGATGCGGAATACGAAGAATAGGGGGATGTTGGAGGCTCGAGATTGGGTCATCAAGAACAGATGAAGAGCCTCGTGGAGGAGTGTATTGGAGACTGTTTGGATTTGTCAGTGTTTTGAGCGGGAATTGGGAGGAAGAGAGGACAGCTTACCACGCCTTGCACCGGGCTGATATTGGGCCACGATCGCAAGAAGAGCACAACACACAAGCCCTCCAAAGATGAGCCTTGCCTGCAGAACCAGTGACAGACTTTCTGGCCATATCTCTGCGGTCTTCGATAAGAAGGACCCCACAAGGAGTTCAGGAGAGTCGTTTGCGACGAAATTCAGCTTGAATATAAAAGCCAAAGCTGTAAGGCCTACGCCTCCAAGCTTTAGCACAGCAGAGGATGGTAGACTTCGCAGAATATGATACCCCGCATCTGCATATGAGAGCAAAAACAAACCCCAAAAGACGGCCGGGTGGGCTGGAAAAAAAGTTCGCGCAATATCTGGTTCGGCTGCAAATTTCTGGCCAGTCTGATTCCAGCGCCGAATAACCCGCTGGGCGACTGCGAGTCCCAGAATAGCAAACTTGCTGCCGTGACGAGACAGTCTGCCAGTAGCTCTTGAAGAGCCTGTCCTGGGCGATGCCGACCGAGCGTGTAAATAGAACATCCACCCGGAGCAAATCCAATACCAGAATTGTTGCTCCTCCTCCACATAACTGCTCGCGAACATCATGCTTCCATAGCCAACGATCATGAATCCAAGGAAGACTCCAGTATACGTCGACCGCGCACATTCATAATATGTGTTGGGGAAGACGAGAAGCGCCGCAATGCCAGTGATTACCAGTCCCAGGCAGAGTCTGGAGATATTGTAATTACTTGCGGTGCTGCTCATCACATCTTGTGCGATTCGCGAAAACCGCAGCAGGGATGATTCCAGAGCTGAGGATGTCTCGTCATTTGTGATGGCGCCAGATGAAAGCCGGAGAACTTCGGACCATGCGCACTGGGCACCTTCGATACCAGAGTCTGCTCCTGTTGCACAGCTTGCCGCAATGGCTTCTTGGTTGAATGCAAAGCCAGGGAACGTAGCTTGGACGGTATTTAAGAGTTGACGAGCATTTCGAGTCAACATCTGAAGCCGCTGGGATTCTGTTGACTGGGGTGAGTTGATGTGCTTCTGTTGGGAAGGAGGAACAGCTTACTGGATTCCCACAGATCTAGAAACTCGGGGATAAAGACCCCCAGGCTGTTGAGAGGGATTGGCAATCCGAGGAGACCAGCCAATGTCGGTGTAATGTCTGCTTGTTCGACTGTACGGTAGTATTGGAGATCGTCAAAGGCCTCAACAGGGCTTTCTTGGCGGACTCCCAAAGCCTCGAATTTAGGTGAGATAAAGAGTAGGGCCGGGGATGTCTCTCCGGCCGATGCACCACCATGGTTTCCGGCATCATTCATGCCATGATCGCCGCACAGAACGAACAAAGTAGACTCAAGATGTGGCTTCTGTTGAATTGCGCTGTAAACTTCGTTCACGATTGCGTCCATCTCTTGCTGTTTTGGTATCATGTACGAGCTATATAATAATGTTAGACAAGATAGTCAGAATAACAATGCAAGAAATGAATGAAGAAATACCTTCTAGGCCCTGCCTTGTGGCCAATGTGATCCAAACCCAAGTAATGCATGATCATAGCTGACCAGTCGTCTTGGGCAAGCTCAGTCGGAACATGACGGGTAACATTCTGGTCCACTTCCACAAAGTCCTGTAGGGAAGAAGTTAGAAATGAAGACTCACTAAGCTCGAGTCCCATCGAAGACAATATATTAGGTTCCATGTGGATTACTTACCGATACAAAGAAGCTGGTAGTGCCATCAGCTCGACCAAACATGCCAGGGAACAGTTTAAGCCACGTATCATCCCCGTACATGACAAGTTGATCTCCTCGGGCTTTCAATTGGGCTAGCCAGGTGTCCTGGAAAGCAAGAGTTGACGATGTGTCTGACTCGGCGATATTGAGGATCACATCCAGGAACGATGGAACAGAACCTGTAGTCATGGCCTTTAATCGAGGCATGGTGACCGTTGGAGAGCTTGCATGGGCAGTAAAGGGCAATGCCACACCCGATCGAATCAGACTAGAAACACAATCAGCAATTTTATCTTTCTCTAAGTACTCATTCCATTTCTTGATAATATCGGGATGAATTTGCAAGGGAATACAGACCTTTGCGTGAACAAGAATCCAGACTCGTTGGAGTAAACAAAGTCACTGTATGATCGATTAGTGAATGATTTACTTTCCGATTTGAGTTAATGAGTCTCCTACCTGCGCAATGCATCTACCACCATAAACACGACTTTATCAAAAATTGGAGACGTGGCATCCTGATCAGCCTCATCGAATGCCGCAAGGCCCGGAAGGAGTGGCTTATAGGGGAAGAACCCGGAAGAGAAAGTGAGGATTCCCACAGGGATCAAGATATTGGCCAGCAAAGTGGTCCAGCTGGATTGGAAGAGACTCATGATGCTCGCCCCCGACAGACACGATCTGGCCTGTAGAGCATAATTTTCCGTAAAGAAATATTCTTAACAGAGGGTAACATGAAATAAGTCACCCTGGTTGTTGACGAGTTGGCGATACGCGACCACACCGCCTTCACCCGCATTCTACGCCTCTTTGGCTGATCATCGTGGTGGATCGATCTAATCGGTGCCGACCTCTATCAGGTCTGCTATTTCTACATATTCTCATTTTGCAAAGCCAAAACAATGTCGTAGTGTATCTACAGATGCAATTGACTAGAGGTCGTAACAAAGTAAGAAACATATATGCCCAAGGGACTCCCAACGCCACGGATAATTTTGTATCCCCACATCCCACCGCAATATCGTCAAATATTCCTCGTCTCCGACACCAATCCTTACTTCCTCTTAGGGCCACCCTTCTTGTTCTTGGATACAGGCTTCGAGAAGACGATGGAGGGGCGAGTCTTTCGGTTGCGAGGCTGCTTCTGCACCCGCCCGGACTTTGCAGATCGAGTCTTGGTGGACTTGTTGTCGATGTCCATCTCTGTACAACAATTAGATCGCCGCTCATTGAGATATGTATAGAGTTATCAAGAGTCATGAGGGGGGTCAACTTACCCTCGCCGACAGGAGTGGCTTTCTCGGCATCGTTTTGATCGGCTGTAGGAAAAAGAAAAGTTAGCGACGTCGTTTGAAGGGGGTAAAAAGCATTTTGAGCAAACATACCAGTCTCATCCGCCTCGATGTCCATTTCTTTCTTCTTAGGGGCCTCGGGCTTGGGCTGCGAGGCGATTTCCTGCAGCTTTGCAGCCAGTCGCTCAGTGCGGGCATCGACAATGGGGCCGAACACCGTCTTGCGGAGGTTGGCTCTGTTGCGCTTGGAAACGCTTGCGCGGACACTTTTCGCCATTGTGGATAGGATCGCTTGTATATTCCAACGAGGGGAATCTTCTGTAAAATCGGCCCTGAAAAGGAGTGCAGTCGTGTTTTGGGAGGGGAATTGCGACGAGGTCGTCGGCTCGAAACTTTTTTTTATCGCGATAGGCGGGCGTCTTATGTCATCCGCAACGAGGCGCCTTCGGGGAACGGACAACCGCCGCCGAAACAATCCAACTTCACTCCCGGGCGAGTTTCCTCGAGGCTGACGTCCTTTTGCAATCTCAAGCCTGTGTCGCCGTCCAGCGATGTATATGTGTACATCCTTTCGACATCTGGCGTAGCTGCATTGCACTCTGCCTGTGCGATGCCCATATTTGGGGCTCTTTGAGACTACCACACGACCACTCGCACGACTCGCATTCTTGTCTCCGCAATGGCATCCTCCGGCCAGCTGTCGGAGATTCCACATCTCGTGGCTCTCATCAAAACTCTGACAAACGCAAATTTGAAGGACCTTTTACGCAATGAGGGTCTTGCAGTATCCGGCGTCAAAGCATCGCTGCAGCTGCGCATCATTGATTGTTCGTTATCTCTTCGGTTTTCCCTCTCTGCCAGTTCTCTTTTCCTCCAGAGGGTATCTTTATCTACTCTTTGACTTCTCTCCTGGCCTCTGACTGGAAATTTGCGATCTCTGTGTGAATGCGCTTTCTTTGTTACAACTTATTGACCCTCTCGTTGCATTAGATCTCGAGCGCCTTGCAAATTCCGAGGGCAACGGAGCCCGTTACGATGCTCTGAGACGACGTATATACCAGACCGCGATCCCTGGTGCTTCTGCTTTTCAGTCTTCCTCACCCAGCTATCAACTTCCACCCCCACCTACTGCTCAGGCTACACCATCACAACCTCGACCTGCGTCTTTGGGAGGCACCATGGCTCCCCACGCCAGCTCACATAGTTCGTCTATATTACCTCTAAAATATTACCAGCAATGACTAATTGGTCTCCAGGTCACCTCGCTTTCAAGGAAAGCCCGTTCTTCACGATCTTGAATCCTCTGACGAAGGTGATGGAATGCAAAGGTATACACTCAAGCATGCACCCCCTCCCCCAACAGTCGATTCAGTCTGTCTAATATGGAACAGTGCGCGAACAAACGAGGGATAGCGTGGAGCTCAAGGTCACGCTGAGTGTATCGACGGCAACGGATTTGACTACAGACCCTAACCTCCGGGTGATGGTCTACTGTGCGGCCGACTCGGGTCTTAAGCAATACACCAAGTCGGATATCACGTTCCCTCACCAAGTTGAGCTCAAAGCCAATCTTGATGAAGTTAAAGCCAATCTCCGTGGATTGAAGAATAAGCCTGGCACTACTCAGCCGGCAGATGTTACGCCCCATATTCGCAAAAAAGCAAACTACCCAAACACCATCGTGATGACCTATGCCCTGACCACAAAGGTAAGCATCTAATCTCTATGGTATCCCCTTTTTGTTATCTATGTGTCCTTGGAAATGTGCGTTGCTAATAACACGGCGAAGAAATTCTTCGTAATTGCCAATCTTGTTCGACAACATCCCGTTGATGAACTTGTTGCGCAACTCAAATCTCGCAAGATCATCTCGAAGGAACAAGTCATCCGCGAAAGTAAGAACAATAGCTTTCTATTTATTAGGGACTGGACATTCTGACGCATGCCTGTTATAGTGAAAAATCGCGCAGAGGATACCGATATAGTTGCGACATCAAGTATCATGTCGCTCAAGTGCCCGCTCTCAACGCTCAGAATCCAAGTGCCCTGTCGCTCCGTGGTCTGCACGCATAACCAGTGCTTCGATGCATCATCATTTTTGGAGCTGCAAAAGCAGGCTCCCACTTGGACCTGTCCGGTGTGTTCCAAGTCAACGAGCTTCGAGTCGTTGCAGGTTGACCAGTAAGTTCCAACATCCTATGGCCTTGTATACCCAGAACTTGTACACTGACTGTGATTCTTACCATACAGGTACGTTGACGATATCCTTGGATCCACGTCAACAGAGGTGGATTCAGTCGTGGTCGAGCCGGATGGTACATGGTCAGCACCCAGTGATGCAGACGCCGTGAATCTCGGTGGACGAACACCGGCAAGCGATGATGACGATGACGACCTGATTGAGATCCGCGAGCCTGGCACTTCTGCTGTGAAACAAGAACCAATGTCCGCGAATATTATGCTGGAGCGCACTCCAGCCCAGTCGAAGTCCCGAGAGGCATCGACTCCATCTTCCGCGGCTCGGCTATCAAGTAAGAAGCGGCCTGCTGCTCAGGTCATCGATCTTACCGGCAGCGACGACGATGACGACGAATCGCCTGTTCCTCCCGTCAAGCGTCCGGCCTTAAACTTGGGAATTCGTGGGATAGCGACACACGACCCTTACCAACCAGGAGCTAACAGCCCTCTGAACAACCGAGCTTATCCACCTCCACCATACTAGGTTGTTACCATCGTGGGAACTTGATTCACTAGACTCACGTATTTATTTCTTGGTTACCCGCTCTCACCTTTTTCTGGGTTCGGGTTTTTTTACTGTATTGTTCTTATGTCTCTGTCTCTCTGTTGATCCCCCATTCCCCCTTATGCATCTGGCCGTGGTGTTTATGGCGTATCCCTGATTTTCTTGGGATTTTCCATTTGGGTTACTTAGGCAGGTGTGTTCGATGCCAACAATGAAAAGCATCTATATCTGGAAGGAATTGTACGAATTGTTAGTGTTTTGTTGAAATGGTGTCTTTCATGCGTATGGTGGTTTATTGATGTAGTAGGTTGGGCATTCCGGTAGAAAGACCGAAGTATGGTTTATTGTAGCCTTTTATTGATTTCTAAGTATATCAAAATCGTACTCTGTAACTTGTATTCTGTCACTATGTCAGGTATTGCAAGTGGGGAAACCCAAGCTGTTCTCCAACTCTCGGCTTACTACCACTTACTACTGTAGGTAAACCGCCTCCCGAACCCGTCAACTCCCCTCCAATTGCCATCCGTGACAAACCAACTCCACACCTTCAACAACAACCTCACCAACTCCTCCCTCTCCTCCTCCCCTCTAACCCCTCCTCCGATCAAATCCCTTCCCCTCCACTTCACACAAAATGTCCTTCGACGCCTCAGCCTCATTATCCATCTCCGACCCAAACGCCCGCGCCCTGAGCTCCTCATGCTTCGACTTCCTCCTCATTGAACTGGTCCCCATGGCCGAACGTCTTGCCAAAGACCTGGCTACACAAGAGAACCCCGAAGACGAGGAGGTTCGCGAGTCTACATATTTTCGTCTGGAATCGTTGGGATACAGGGTGGGACAGGGTCTTGCTGAGAGGTGTGTGAATAGACATGCCCCCCGCGATGTTCCTGGATGCGCTCGAGGACAAACAGAGTCCTAGAAGATCTCGGCTGTTTTTCCTTTCGTTCTCAAGCCGTCTCTGTGGTATATTAGAGGCATGATGTGCGTACTGGAGTTGACTAACACAACCCAATTAACAGATTCTCCCGAGATCGCCCCCGATTCACCGATAACCTCGACGTGATCAAGTTTCTCTGCAAAGACTTGTGGACAGTCCTCTTCCGAAAACAAATTGATAATTTGAAAACAAACCACCGAGTATGTTATGCGATTCCACCATACAGTCACGCAACCACCGCGACAAGACTCCGGAAATCTCCTGTCTTGGATCAATCGCGATACTAACCCGGTTTGACTGAACAGGGAGTCTACGTGTTAACAGATAGCTCATTCCGACCCTTCGCCCGGATGAGCATGGCTGTACGAACGGAAGCTGTAACGATGGCGCAAGCAGTAAGGACCTCCCTCTCCGAGAGCATTGCCCCCTCTGTACGCAGTACTGTATGTGTTTGTGGATATTCGCAGAAAGCTGACCGCTGTGGATGGAATCTTAGTATCTGTGGTTTCCCTGTGGTATCATCCGAGGCGCTCTCGCCAATCTGGGGATTAATACAACCGTGCAGGCGGAGACGTCTGAGCTTCCAGGGGCAACGTTTCAAATTAAGACGGTGCCGGCTCGGCCTTGAATTGGGAATGGAACCAGGAGTGCCGAAGTCCGGGAGTAACATAATGTTCAGGCAGGCCTGGACAAGACCACAACGTCGCGGATCTGCATCGCTCCATTGGCGACTTTACAATTCTTTTCTGGACTTTCGCCGGCTGGACTGGCAAGAGGTCCGCGAGTGTTAGCCGCAGTCTGCTCCCTCGCCACGATTGAGAGCATCTTCGGCCGTCGGCTACGCAGAAAAAAGAATCCTACAATGGAGGAAGATGCGAGTATAAAGGTCTGAACCAAATAATCTTAATTGTTTATGCGCACGGGTTCGCTATCTGTGGAATACCGTGTCGCTTGACTGAGAAATCCTCCGCGTGTCTCCATTGGTCGTTCATAATCTCATTGCGTCGCGCTTAAAGCCTATCTTTCCGCGAGAAGAATAATTAGCGAGGCTCTGCAATTTCCGAGGCCAAAACGGTGTGGGGGGGCCTGTCGGCGGATATCAAATGCGGTATGGGATTGAATCACCCAATATAAAAAATATAATGGGCCGAGAAACGGAGGACAGGAGAGGAGAGTATTACTTTGAGGAGTTCTTGACAAACTCAACACCCTTTTCGATGTTGCCCTTGAGGCCCTTGATGCAAGCCTCGAGGAGGGTCTTCTCCTGGTCGGTGACACCGCCGAGGATGTTGGTGGCCTTCTCGGCACCGTTGGGCTGTATATACCATGTCAGTAATGTTCTATAGACACAAGAATGAAAGAAATATCAAGATCAACTCACGCCAAGCTCGACGGGGGTAGAGAAGAAGTCAACACCAGTGGCCTTGGCGATCTCGTCACCACCGGGGACACCGGGCAGGTAGACGAAGGTAGGCTCGACAATGCCCTTCTCGCCCTTGGCGGCCTTGATCACAGCCTCGGCGAAGCTATAAGAAGTCAGTAATGCAACTTCCAAATACAGGAAAGGGCGGACTGTACCGGAAACCAGCGAAAGCCATGGACAGAGTGGCGGAACCGGCACCATCCTTGGCCTTGACAACCTCATCACCACCGAACTGAACGCCTGTAATAGAAAGTTAATAGCTGCGATTAAACAAAGAGACTCCATGGGAGGAAACGCAGATGATAGTACGTACGGTTGACAAGAGCGTCGTAGCGATCAGCGGGGATCTTGAAGTCGGGGGAGACCTTGCTGAAGAGGGGAACAATGGTCTCGCCAGAGTGACCGCCGATAACGGGAACGGTAGCCTTGGAGGGGTCGGACAGACCAGAGAACTCCTGGGTGAAGGTCTCGGCGCGAACGACATCGAGAGTGGTGACACCGAACAGGCGCTGGGGGTTGAAGACGCCAGCGGCCTTGAGGACCTCGGCGGCAATGGGGACGGTAGAGTTGACGGGGTTGGAGATGACCAGAGTGAAGGCGTTGGGGCAGAACTCGGCGATACCCTTGGCCAGGTCACGGACAATGCCGGCATTGATCTTGAAGAGGTCGTCACGGGTCATACCGGGCTTACCTAGAATTGAGACTTGTTAGCAATGTACACGCCGGTAGTCTGGGGAAATGGAGGGGTACGAACGGGGAATGCCAGCGGGGATGACAACGATGTCGGCGCCGGTCAGAGCGTTCTTGAGGCCATCATCCTTGGGGAGGTAGCCAGTGATTTTCTAGCTGATGGTCAGCGATGATGACTTTCTCGGTATTGTGAAGTTTTGCCTCGGAATATAAAACAGTCCACGGCAATTGAGTCTGATACAGGACGAGCAGAAAGGGTCTTGTCACGTACGGCAGGGGAGGAGATGTGGGACAGATCGGCAGCAACACCGGGAGTGTTGACGACATCGTAGAGGGCGAGCTCGTCAACCAGAGGCGAGGCCTTCAGGAGGAGAGAGAGGGGCTGTTAAAGAGAAAAGATTAGTTGATGAGCTTTGGTATGGATCTAGCTAGATCTTGTTGGGAGGGGAGGCTCACCTGGCCAATGCCGCCAGAGGCACCAAGAACAACTGCGCGCAATCAGGTTAGTTACCGAGGAAGCTAGCTCGCTGAGAGCAGTATGACCACAATTAATATGACATACCAGCCTTGACCATGATGTGAGATGGTTTGTGAAATGGAAGAGAATTAATGGAAGAGATTGGTGGTAGTGGAACGGAGAAGAGGAGAAGTAAGGAGGGAAGGAGGGGATCGGGTTATTTATTTGAGTTGTTTTCGGAAGAGGAGGAGGAGACGAGGGGCGGTTGGGATTGAGGGGCAACCCCGGAGTTGCCCATCGGGCGGTCCCTCATATTCACAAGCTAAAAACATGAAGAGGTGCTCTCGATGACGAATTGTACAGTACAGCCTAAATTAGTATATATATAACACCCATAGGGCTATATAGCAATAGCTATATAATATTTTTTTTATCATGACTTTCATCTTTCATTATCCTGTTCATAACAACCCGTATCATACACTTGGCATGCCGGAGGTATACCCCTCGGTACTGCTTCATATAGAAGGTGTACTACTTATTACCGACAACTAAATACCTCACTTATCTTCCTACTATTGTTAATACTTTCTGTATCAATCCCTACATTTATCCTTGAAACTCGATGGTCGGCAACTCCCTCACACAATAATAGTCTACGCTAACAAAATCCTAACTGGCGGATGTCGCTTTTTTACTGCATTGGGCTGCCCGGTCTGCAAGTCTCCGTTGGTACAATGCGGAGTACTCTGTCCCTATTACTATTCTCGTACCACATAGAGGACCCTGGGTTCCAAATATGCCTAATAATTACAAGGTCAGATGACTCTAGTGTCTCTTATACATCCAGTGAGGGACCCAATGGAACCGGCTAGAGGAGTGATCAAGCTGGCGTTCATGGATCGAGTATCAGGTAGTCGTGCGAGTAATGCGGTACATGCTGAATTATTACTCTAGTTCATTCTTATGCTAATCTACTATAATCCGTCTTCTACAGTATTCTACCTTGGGTATACCTACTGCTTTCGGACTCATACCATATACCATATTCTCCTTGTAAACTGATTGTCCTATACAAACTTACTTAATAATACCATACCTCCTGTCACATCCTAGCAAGGCAACATTTCCCGGCCCATCTTCCGACATTCTCTCCCTGGCTCTGCCTGTCCAACAATCGCGGTAACTGCCCCATTACAGATCTCGGCTATTGTTCATCAAGCCCGTGATTCTCGGAAACCTGTTGCAGGGTTCCATTCGCCGTCGGGAAAAGGCGGGTTCCCCCAAAGACTCTCAGTTCCACGGCAAACGACATCATTCCTCCCGCTGAACCCTATGGTCCAGGAAGAAGAACAACATATCGCTCCCCACCTCTACACTAATACAAGCTCCACCCAAATCGTCTCTCTCAATCTGGATGACGAGTCCAGATCACTTCCAACCGTCAGGCCCGAGGCTGATTCCTCGACTCGGCCCGACGAATCGGCTGCCGCTGCCCCAGTGAGTATCTCCTACTACACCCGCACCAAAGCTGATGATCCTTTTTCCGTTATCCCCGGACGTTCATCTATACCTCGTCCATCTAGACCTCTGGTCGGTCTTCGCGAGGGGATATTTGTGATTTTGGTTTCTCTTATAGAAATTGGATTTCACTGTTTTCTTTCCAAACCACCGGGGGTCGGGCAGTTTAACACCCCGGGAAGCAAAAAAAAGGTTGTGTAATTGCTAGATTACATGGACAATAACTCCATCGTGGTTTCCAGCACCGGCACGCCCACGGTTTTCTTTCAGATGCCCGAATCCGATCCACCTAAGATGCGCGTTCGCACCCATCGTTTTGAACTCCTTCATCACTCTCTTATCGCAGCAAATTATATTTACTCGGAGGCCTCGGCGGCGGCCTTGCGGGCACCGCGGGGCTTGGAGGCGGGGGTGTCCTTCTTGGGCTTCTGGGAGCGGCGGAGGGCGCTCACACGAGAAACGGCCTCCTCGCGGACATCAGCGCGGTAGCCGTGCTGGGCGGTCTTGCTGGCAACACCCTTGTAGATCCTGTAGTACAAATTCAGGTCAGTACCATGCCTTGTATTGTCTTTCCAAATATTGGAGGAACCATCGTCCAATCCACGCGCATGTCGCAAAGACATGGAGTAGATATGTAAAACGTTTGTTGGCTTGGCGCGCGGGAAATCGAAAGGCTTTCTTACTTGCGGGTGGCGGTCTTGGGGCCGTAGGTAACGGTGACCTGGTTCTGGGCGGGCTGCTGGGGGTTGCTGGGCTTCTTGGTGGTAACGGCGATGGAACCGTCCTCAGTGGCCTGGACACCGACGGCCTGGAGGAGACAGAGATTGGTAAGTAAGGATCTTTGTCGAGTCCATTCCCAATTCAGCGCAATTGAGATAGAGAGTGTGTTTAATTACCTTGTTGTTGGCGAAACCGGCGTACTATCGATTCAAACCCCCTCCGTTAGCTCTCACGTCGCTCAATTACCAGTGGGGGAAATCTCCAAGATAGAGAAATCCACCATTGAGATTCAATTGCACCATCATACCTTCAGGGAGTGCTTGTTGACCAGGTTCAGGGGGTCACGGGAGAACTGGGAGCCACCACCGGTGTTGCGGCGAACCAGATAAGCATTCTGGTTACCTATTGATGCCCACAGCTGTCAGCCACGGGCTCGCAAAATCGCCAATAAATTCGAGGAGGTGGAAAATTTCAAGACGTACGGGTGATCTGCCAGATCAGCTCGTTGGAGATGTTGGTGCGTTGGGCGGACATGGTGACGGATATACTGGATTCGAGAAGAATATGATCGTGAATCGCCTTCTGGATGTGGCCGGGGACGTCTTGTGTGATGGAATTCTCCAACTCGGCGCCTCGCTAAGCAGGCCGCTTTGGGAATAGTGCCCGTCTTCATGCCTGGGTGCCTGATAGATTTTCTTATCTAATCGGAGCTGTGTCTTTGACTGCCTTACTGCCTCAGGCCATCAATACCCCGTCAGAGGCAGCTCCGTTCAGCACGAGTTCGGGCGTCGCGGATGACGACTCCCTTCGGTGCTCCGCCTCCTCTTTCATTGTTGCGCCAACTCTTCCAACGCCTGGCCTTTTCAAACTGCCTGGCTTCGGGAAGCCTCTCCATCGGCCTACCCTCAGGCTCCATCGATTAACCTGATATCATTTGCGCTGTGCCACCATCATGTCCTATTTCCTATTTTATTCTCTTATAATATCCGTCATCATCGCGGGAACAGGTACGTCGCGAATGCCACTATAGCCTTTCTCGCTCCACCATGGGTTCTTCGGATCTACACTGAATGAAAGCTGACCAAGAACTCTAGCACTCTATCTCACTCGGTCACGATGGATCCATCTACTACCAGTCCCTGATTACCTCTACCACCGCCTTCCCTCCAGCTTCACGGCCGACTTGGAGACCGGCTTGAGTTCCTCACAATTCGACATTACGGCTAATGTGGCAGATGGGGATACCCGGGCCGGACTGGATCAAACAGCAAAGCGGGAGATTCAAAAGATCATGAAGGCCCGAAAGGTCAACTTTGATGAGGCCCGCCGGATCTATACCGAGCAACGATTCGCAAGGAATAATATTGGCCCCGATGGTCGACCCCGAGATCCCAAATTTGTCTCATTCTCATGATCTCACTCACAAGCGCATAGCTCTTTCCATCATTCTAGTCTCTCTTTTCCATTTCCTTTTCCTTTCTCCTTCGTCAGTTTACTTTCGGGCTCTGGGGTTCTGTTTTTGCATCTCTGGTGTGCACTTCTCATACCAAATCATGATGACCGCACTAGGTCTACAATACTACTCGCAATGCTTTGTAACTGAATCGTTGCATTACTCTACTTTTTCCAAACACCTCCACGAATGTCTTCCTATCATATCTCATTTGATTGGTCGAAGGGTGGCTTCGCGCCGGGATTAGCTAGAGCAACGGCTGGTGTTAGGACGCCGCTTCCCTGTGTCTGTTCATGTCGGAGGAACCTGCTGGAAGCACCAGGGTCATGTAGTTCTGCAGATCATCTAATGTGATCTGGATTCCAACGTATGGTCAGCCTAGTCGTCACCATCTTGGTCGATGTATGCTGTGTACAAGCGATCCGCTAAAATTAAAGCAGCACTCCGGTTTCAATCGTGACATGTAGCATGCTTCAGCGCCATTGCATCCACAATCATCAATCTTTGTAATGATGGGTTGCATGCTAAATGTCGCATATGCTCACTCAACGACCAGTTCCGTACCCAGGTTGCTGGAAGCCAGGAGGCAACGATGGGGGTGCTCCGGGGGCCGTGGGGGCCACTGCTGGAGGGACAAAGCCAGGAGGGCCAAATCCTGGGGGTGGTGCTCCTCCTTGCGGGGGATAAGGGGGGTTGCTGACCCGCGCCATTGAACCCTGGTGGAAGGAAGGTTTGAGGGCCACCATAGCCGGCTTGAGATGGCGGGGGACGGGCTGGTAGACCGGGAGGGGGAGTTGTGAGTGACGAAGGAGGAGGAGGTCCTGGTCGGCCCTGCTGAGGAGGAGGTACGCTCTGGTAGTTCATCGGCATTGGCATGCCCCTGCCCATAGCGAGGTCGGGCGTCTGCGGACCGGTGCTCACAGGTCTCGAAGCATCACCATTTGGCATAGCGGTGGGGGTAGCAGAAGGACCAGTACCTGCTCCGGGGAATTGACCAGATTGAACCTGCTGTGTTGGTGGGCGAACATTGTGTTTCCGAGCTTGCGCGGCCAGCGTTCTCTCGGCCTCATCACCATGTCGCTCTCCTTTACCATCCTTCTTGTAGGCGTATTGCACAGAAACTTGCTTGTTCATGAGGTATTGACCGTCCATATTGGTGATAGCGGCATCGGATGACTCGAAGTCGGCAAATGAGACGAATCCATAACCCTTGGACAGATTGTTGTCATCCCGAGCAATCTAGAATCAATAGAGTTAGCGCTTTTGTTCAAGCCCCGTTTCTTCCAGACAGGTAGACACTGACCTTAGGCAAATTGACCAAGGTGCCAAAGCGGCTGAACGTGTCGTAGAGGACTTGCTCCGAAACCATAGGATCGAGGTTTCCAACAAAGAGCTCTGCGCCAATTTCCACGGACTTTTGCTTATCTGCGGAGGCCTTGTTCACCCGAATAGGCTTGCCGTAGAGACGAATCCCGTTCATGACCCTTGAGGCATACTCGGCATCCTCCTCACTGATATACTCCACGAACCCATATCCTTGGTGTGACTGTGTGACTCGATCTTTAGGGAGGTGAACGTTCACGATGCGCCCAGCCTGCAGCATGAGCTCCCATACCAGGCTATCGGAAGCCCTCTCGTCCAGGTTACCGATGTAAACCGTGGCCTCTTTATCTTGCTCCCTAATTCCTGGGGTTAGTACGAGCGGTAATGTGATTGGAGGCATGGGATAGTAGGTAGAAGCTCTTACCAGTGTCTTGCGCCAGACATGATGGTGACGGCGCCTGTCGCGGCGAGACGCAAATTCTTATTTCAAACGAGGAGATGCGCAGGACTGAAGTGAGGAATACTCAATTGCGGCTTTGTCTTCAACGTGTCGAGGCCGGGGTAGGAGGAGAGAAAGCTGTGTGTTGGTTGAAAGGGAGGTTCTGGCGGATGGAATTGCGGGCGGCGGTGATCGGTGATCATTGGATTTCCCGACCTCCGAAAACTTTTGAGCCAACTTCTCGCGGCTCCCGCAAGTCCCTTAACCTTCACTTTCCACCTTCCACCTTCAACCCATCCACCCATATCGGATTCTTCACACGACGCTACTATCTTATCGATAGTCATTTCTCTTTTCTTCAGATCTATATACCCTTCCACAACGACTATTCATCATGGTTCAATTCTCCGAGGAGACCAAGGTAAGTCTCCGTTCCGCATCCACGCGATCCTTATTATATAGGCACTAACTCGGTCTCTTCTCTCTTTATAGGAGCGCGTCTCCAAGGTTATCGATATTTCCCGCGTTGCCATCCACTAGTGAGGCCCCCTGCCTGTCCGCATCATCAACCTGCAACCTCTCTCGATGACCATAACCTTCTCACGTACAACTGAACTGACACTTGTGGATTTGATAGTGGTTATCTGCCTCTGATCGTCTACCTTGGTATGTTGAAAGCAGATATTTCCAACAATCTTTCCACGGTGGAATGATGAACTGATTGATGCGCAATGAACAGGGTACTCCTACAGCGAGCCTAAGCCGTCTCTTTTCAAGTAGGTCAAATGTCCAATATCCTTCAGCAGCTCCGATCTAACCACGTCGATCAGGCTGTTCTCGCCTCTCGCATAAGAGTCGTGCTATAGGGTATTCAACCAGTACCAGAATGATAATCGGTCGGCCGCATTGAGGGACCCACTGGAGTTCAATCAAAGTGGCCTCTTTTCTCACGTTTCGCTCGCCCTACAACAAATGCGCCTTTCTTTTATTTCGGCAGCTTTTGGATCATTCCTCGGTAGCTCAATATAAGGGCGAGCTGTACAATCCACAATTGAGTCGATGATATGTATTTTTAAATGGAACATGGGATGTTAATCGGTTTTGATTTTCCATTCTACTCTTGGTATCTATGGGCCACTGCACATGGAGACTTGATCTACCTCGTATGATGATTGTAATCAGCCTTATCTTTTGTAGAGTAGGTAGAGTGTAGCAGCACCCACTTAGTAGTCCACTTTCTCCTCTCCCGTGATCCATGACTCGTGACTCCGAGATAACCAAGGATGACGGCATTCTGCCACGGCTCTCCGATATCGATAACTAGATTATTCCTCCGTTGCCCGCAACTACTAAGATACAACAATCCAGCGTCAACTGTTGCTACCTCTTATCTTAATTCACCAACCTTCTGTGGTCCCTAGCCAAAGGTTCATGACTGGCAAGGATGGGTTGTCTTCATCCGTTGTGGAGACCGTAGCGGGATTCACAGCAGGGGTTGCCTCCACACTCTGTGTACACCCGCTTGACCTGGTGAAGACTCGCCTTCAAGGTACGATAACATGAGTCTCACTTCTGGCTCCCCCTCCCCCTCTATCTCTGATTCAAATATTCTTGGGTCATGAATTAACCCAGTTTGACCCCTCAGTCGATCGATCATCGCCCTCCCGTCTTGGCAGCTCTTTACGCATTATTCGTGAAATCTCCACACATGAGGGCGGTCTTCGTGCCTTCTATCGCGGTCTGGCCCCCAACCTGATCGGGAACTCTACGAGCTGGGCCCTGTACTTCCTCTGCTATGGCAGCCTCAAGGACGCCATCCGCATCTACCGAGGACATGAAGGTTGGATGCTCACATCTTCTGATTATTTTCTTGCATCGAGCGTAGCAGGTCCGTATTTCCAGGCAACAACAACGCCTTCTGATCACTAACCAAGTTCTTCTAGGAGCATTTACATCTATTCTCACAAATCCTATCTGGGTCATAAAAACGCGGATGCTGGCAAGTGGTGCTCAATCACCCGGAGCCTATCCTTCGTTCATGTCTGGTGTGAGGCAAATCTACCACACTGAGGGCATGCGTGGCTTTTATCGTGGCCTGGTTCCCTCGTTGTTTGGTGTCAGCCATGGCGCTTTCCAGTTCATGGCCTACGAGAGGCTGAAGATTTTCCGTTCCCGGGAGATACGTGATGAATCCTCGATGAGGAACTCCGATGCTACGGTGACCAAGAAGCTTGGAAACGTGGACTTCCTGGTCATCTCCGGTTTGTCCAAAGTGTTTGCCGGGTGTGTGACTTATCCATACCAAGTCATCAGATCACGGCTGCAGACCTATAAAGCCCACATAGTATACCGTGGGGCCATGGATGCAATCAGTCAGATCTGGGCACAGGAGGGTATCGCAGGATTTTACAAGGGACTTGGCCCGAATCTGCTTCGAGTTTTGCCAAGTACCTGGGTCACATTTCTTGTTTATGAGAACACTAAGCTCTTCATGCCGAAGCTCGCAGAGGGAGTATAGATTTCAATTCTAGAATAGAATTCCTCTTGATCTCTCAACGCTTTCTCTGTAAGCCCGTCCGTGGCAGTCTCAAGAATTTTCGAGGTAAGAGCCTAACAAATGAGATCAAAAATCCCTCACAGACCATGAAAGATCTATTTCGCCTAGAAAGTGACTCAGTTGGTAGAAAGATAATCGCGAGTCCTTGAACGCTTCTTGCTCTATATGCTTACAGGGATTGGGAACACAAAACCTAGAATAGGAACGAGGTACCTAACTCGTAATGTCGTCTGAACTTTCCACATCATCCGTAAATTTGTTTCGGATTGACCGAAAACAAGAATGCTACCAAAAAAAAGCAACCTTGGACAGTGGCAGTTCAAAAGTCTGAGTCTAGAGACCAGAGAAGCCGCTCAACAGACATGCTTCCACTTCTTGTTTTTCGAGAGGCCTTTCTAAAGGTTATCCAAATATTCTTTCTTGATAGTTGAGGTATCATTTTTCGGTCTATCTTTCAACTCGCGACTGTAAAGGTGATTTTGAAAATCTCTCGGGGTTTCAAACTTATGGAACCTCATTGTACAAGGTCTCCGTCTGGATTAGAACGCCTGGAATCATGCTCCTAATGACTCATGGGTAATATTTACCCACAGCTCGAGGGCGCATCCATAGCAATATCCCCGTCCGTGGCACCGTATAACCTCTCAGACTTCCAGTTACTGAATCCTGGCCACTCCTTGTCGGAGCCGGTTCTAAGCCAAGTGATATGGAAAGCTCCATACTCTGATTCTGATTCGACTGGGTTTCAGCTTCGCTATGGCTCCTGCAATCACTATGTACATAGCTTCCACACATCATCATACATAAGGTTCAGGTTCTTATTTTGAAAGATTATGCTGCAGGTATCTTTTTCTCATTGTGACGTTGTTTAATGTACCATAGACACGGACGAGTGGCCCTTTTCGTCCAAGAGTGCGCTCTATATCGATCATCAATCTTAATTTCTTCTCCCCGCATATTCCAACTCGGATTTTGCAGATTTTGCTTGCTGTTCCTTCCGTGTTCCTAAACAGCACCCACAATCATGGCAGCCTTGTGCAAGTGGCGTTTTTGCTGAGTTTCTACTGATTTCAACGGCAGAATCCCATACCCGGCCACTTTGACTTTTCTTGACAGAGGCGACAGTGATGAGAGAAAATGAGGAAGAGATTCAGGAGGATGTACGTACCATTATCTAAAACTAGACTGACTAGCCATACTGGGGCATGATATACACGTTCGATAAGCTTGTATCTCCCCCAAGCGATCAAAAATGCGGTATGAGAACGCCACAATGCACAAGGCTTGGGGTGTCGGATACATGTAGATGCTGGCACGAGTGGAAGTTTCTGAATTGAGCCCTAATCTTAGTGCCAGGCTTGGGGGTGAGGATTTCCTTCTGGGAATGAACCGCCACGTGCAGGCAAGAAAACCCCAGATCAGCGGAGCCAATCCCCGCCATTTGTTAGCTATTGGTAGAATTAGGCATATCATAGGTCACATATTGGAATGGTCGATTCCAGAAGCAGCATAGTACTTACCAGTTGACATGGACTCAAGGAAGTTGTAACTACATGGTTCCCCCTCCGTAAATTCAATCGCCATTTGTCTGGGCCGAAAGTGGCCTGCTTGAATTCAAATTTCCTTCATGGCCCTTCCTAAGCTTTCTATTGGCTCTAATGGTGAGATATAAAACCTGACACACCCACCGCACAGTTTACATCAGCCTTCCAGATCTATCCTCGCGATAGGTGCACGAGGTTAACATAGTTCACGGCCAACCTGTCCACTTCTGTAGTATGCAAGTGGAATTGATATATGATTGATAATTTTCTAGTTTGAGTAAGGGTAAATACGGGTTCGGTCGGGGAGATGAAGTTAGAAATCTTTGATCTGCAGGGTGATGAGAATGAGGTGGTGAATCTTCTAGATACAGGACAGGTGGGTACCTTGCCGCTACCTAGCGAGCAGCGTCAACTCGTTGTTCAGATTGCTAAGTTTCATTAATTTAGCAATCTTGGGACCGCAATCTCAACGATACAGCCTACAGAGACGATGACGACAGAAAATATATGGATTTGTGGATACCCTTGATTTATCTGTCTGCATATGACTCCCCCTTGCAATATTGAACACTAGTACCAGATCACGTTGCAGCTCCTCACAATGGCCCTTGGATTGACCTACGCTGTGCCAAAGGACAAAGTTGTTAGGCCCGACGTTCTGCATCGTATATGTCTAGCAACGGCGTCGTCTCCCTGCCGTGAAGAACAAGCGCGAGTTTCCAGGTCAGATTCTGGGCGCCATCCATGGCTGTGTTCAAGCCAAACCCTGTCAGCAGCGGACGTGGGTGGGCAGCATCTCCGGCGATAAACAGACGGCCTTCCCTGTATTTCGTGACCAGCCGTCGCTCCAAAGTCCAGTGGGTCACTACCAGCTCTTAAGAAAACTGTGAATACAAGGGGCAAGTTCTTCCGCCGTGAACTTTTGGTCACTCACGGGATAATCATAACTGAACACCCATTCTTCAGAGTGCCGGTCCCAAGTCGGGCCTGTCTTGATCTCGTGCCATATCTGGTCTCGTCTTTGCTCTCGGGGTTCACAAAGTGCGTGGTCAAGGTCCTATCTGTACGGTACGGCGGCAAATGGCGGCCACCGACCCCCCTGGTGAATGTAACTAGAAGTGTGCCTAAATATTAAGACATCAAGGCAGGCATCAAGGCGGCAAGGCAGGAAAGAAGTTGGGACTTGGTCAAATTCAGGGGTTCAGGCGGTATTTCTGCCTGAGAAAATGGGCATCAGGTCGTGGCCGCTATTCGCCGGCGCCTCTGGTTGACTCGATCTGTATACTCCAGGGAACCTTTGCCGACTTTCGATCTGATGCTAATGAGTCAGTCTCATATCAATAGCGTGGAGAAAGTGCACAGAGTCGGCTGCTTACTCAGGCCGGATTCCGAGTGCTCAACATTGAGATTCACATCAACGGTTTGGAATGTTTGATTGAATGTGGGCTAGAATGAAGAATTCCATTTCGTATATCGGAAATGAAAAGCGAATACTACATATATCTATACTTTAGGTCTAAGAATGACTGGATAGCTCGCTGAAATACCATTCTGTCAACCTGATTGATGGTCCCCTGTTCTCGCTAGTCATGACACATATGTACTTATGTAATTTTATGGGTCGCATACCCACTCATGACCGATGGCCCTAAATATACTATAGACCCCCGCAGCGGAAGCTACCTATTCTGGAATCACGTAATTGTAAACGACTTACACCTAATCACAGCTTGGGCAATTCTTGAGCGGAGTTATTTCCATTCCATATCCTGACTCTGTGTTTGAGATTCTCTATTTGCGGGTTGTATATTTGTGGCTTACATTTTTGTGGCTTACATTTTTGCGGGGTTTTGTTCGCGGTTCGATTCAATGCTGGTCCGGCATCTGACTCTCTGGTATGTGGATGCTAGATTAGTTCTAGAATTAGCGTAAGACTAATTTTAACAAATTTTTAGAGCAATGGTTGGAATTTCCCACGGAATGTAGGAGGGAAGGGTTAGGATTATAAAGTCTCATCTTTCACCCACATGTCATCCTCACCTCGTTTCTAATAACACCCCAAGCGAAAGACATTACTCAAATCCCCTGTCACCGCACTCAAACGTTCGCGTAAGTCTCTTATGCCACTCAAGAAGGGGTATTCATCTCACAATGTGCAGAAACCACTCAATCCTTACTTCATTAAACCAAAATGCGCTATATTACTACAGTCGTGGCGCTTCTCGCAGTCACTTTAACTGCAACTGCGTGCCAGCCAGGCACTTACGAGTGTGGATCGAGTGATGGATATGTTACGGTTAATGTCTGCAACGGTCAAGGCGCATTGGCCGTTGCTGCGCGTTGCGACCCAGGGCAGAGTTGCACTGTTAAGGGTGGTGTCGGTTATTGTGTCTGATAGCAACTCTGCTGCATGTCGAAGAGCATGGATCAATTTTATCTTCTTGATGGGGATATTTACTCAAACCGGTTGAAGTGACGGGACTTCGATATGTTACTCATCCCATTACTAGCAATTGAGCATGCTTACATGTGCTGGCATAAATACTCTCGCCTAATTCGAGAGGTTCTAAATCTCTTTAGCTATGGACTTTAGCTATGGAACTGCTTCTAAGCCTACTTGTATCTGCTTCTAATAATTAGCTATTGCATACCTTTCGACCAATGGGTATTTCATTGGGAAGTCTTGGATGTTGACATTGTCTTGTCCTTAAAATCCCACGTCATGAGTAGAAACCGGATGCCAAATGAGACTATCGAAATCAATGTATAGTGTATGTGAATTATAGTGTATGTGAATTAAAATAAACTTATTGTTAATTCAAAGAGTGGTGCTTCTACATAGTAGTGGGCTTCACAGTTCATTCCCTTTGCTGCAAATACCCAACCCGCCTATAAACACTGTGTGATCTTTCGGATTGCGAGCAATGCTTCACCAGTAGATCCTAAGGTTCTTTTCTAGGGTAACCCTGCTGGCACGACATTTTGCCTGATTTCTGCCTGGTTTTTGCCAAGCATTTCACGCCTTACAATTACCAATTCAACCACCCTCTTTCTTCCTACACACACGTATCCTTTCCTTCTTCTATTCCGGGTTCCAGCTCAGCGGGTGTCAACAAAAGTTCAGCGGTTGTCAAGGAGAATATAACCAATCTTAGCACCCGCTGAGCTATTATGCTGAGTTTGATGCATTTATGTGTTAATTATACAGGGTTCAGCTTAAGTTGAACCCCTACCTTACTAAACTGCACTTTAACTCTATACAGCTCTACAAAACCTACGTTACTAATTCCTTAACGACTCTTTTATTTTGATTCTTTGATTGAAATATAGAAGAAGTAGTCGGAATATTAATTAATTACCTATTAACAAATAATTTCGAAGGGTATTTTTAAGGTTGAAGTCCGAAAGGTACTGTCGGATTTACGCCGTGTGCATAAACCCTAGGGCGTGTGCTTGTAGACGCACATAGGTCGATCGAATACCACGATTATGGAAGAGAGACGAAAGTGCAATAGAGGTAGGTCGGCAGCGAATAGGTTGAACAGTGGAGGGTCAACACAGTTTAATCAGAATTGCCTTAAGCTCTATTCGTGTGTGGAAATGGTGTCAAACTTGTTGTATTTAACTAGAGAAACAGGCAGTATTTATAACTTTAGGTACATAGCAGAATATCAAGGAAAAACACTGATAAAACTCTCAGAGTAACATGGGGGATACGAGAGTGTTAGGAAACTCGTTGTTCTTTCCATTTGATAAGATAGTTGATATCTTATCATCGTATCGTGTAGTGGTGGATATCCGATTGGTCCGATGTGTATTGCTTATCTACACGCTCAGTGCGGGGTATCGCACATCCACATGTTGACAGGTACTAACAAAGAAGTAAGAGATATATCTTCTATCTAACACCTACCCTACTGCTACTCTCCACTTAACACTATATTTTTTTTCTTTTAAGGTAAAAATATCTTTTCGCTCCTCTCCCTAACGCAGCTTTTTATATATTAAGATATATATAGAGTATCAAAATAGTAAATCTTAGAGTCTTCCCTAGCCTAGGGTCTAACCCGGGCCGAATTCGACAATAACATAGCCTTAAATACAGCTAATCCCGACCCCGATCTAGGGAATAGATATAGTATATAGACACAACCTATATACTATTAATATACTAATTGTCGGATTTACCGGCGTGCACAAGCAAGCAATTGTACACGATAGGTCAAATCAGTATACGATTGGCGAAGAATCGTATAGGTCAGGTCGAACGATTCGGCTCAGAATCGGAAGTTAACCTATGATAGAAGAATGCTCCAACTTCATCACAATCATTAAACTTGATTCAACTAGCTATGGAAAACAGGCAGTATTTATAACTTCATGAAATCGAGGTAATACGTCAGAATAGAATCTTATAGAAATCAGGAGAAATATAGAGTGTTGAAGCTCCTTCGTTATGTGTGCAATCTGTTGATGTCAATCGTTGAAGATCATCGTCACGTGTACGTTCCGTCGTATTCTGTTAAGTTCGATAGCTGTCGTAGGCTTATGTACCTACTTATATTAATATACCCCCTTGTTACGCGTTGCCGACTGGTCACTGTGAGTTAGAATGTCCACGGGTTATACTTCCCTGATTCTAACTACGGATTCCAAGAGTATCTCGCAACCGTACCGATGCTATGCAAAGCCTTACGTCGGGTTCGGGTCTTGTTGAGTATCTTGCAGAACGTGCCAGAAGTGCGCGCTAAGTAAGTCAATCACTAAGTATTGCTACTAAGTGAATCCCCTACTTGTAGGTTAGGTTGTCTTGAAGGTAAAAACTATGAAGTGCAAAGTACTAAAGGTAGTAACTAAGTAACAATGTGAGATTGATCGCGAAGAACTAAATATATAATATAAAATAAGTGTCCTTTTATATCTAGCCCTTCCTACTCCCGGATCTACTCCCTTGTAGTAAATCTAGAGTCACGGTATACTCCTGCGTATACTCCTTAGAGTCACGCTAGGAGTATATCTTAGTTGTTACGTAGTGTTACCGGCTTCTTATATTTAGGGCGTAATCTAAGTGCATATAAAATAGTAGCCGTTTCCTGCATTGCGCTAACTGTCCTATCGACTAATCAGGTATTAGTTATAACGGTTAGCTGTAGGCTGTTTCTAGCTTTCTTTCTAAATATCTGCCTTAATATCCCCTAGGGCACCCTAAGTATACCGAAACGTACGTAACAACGCTAATCCTTAGCATCCGTGGAATAATTAGCTCACGGTTACTCCTTAAATATCTGTAGTCTAACCGCCCCTCTCGAGGTCCGTAACACCCCTTAGCTCTTAATATAAGGTTAAAAAAGTAAGAGCTAAATAAGAGATTTTAGAAGGAAAGGAATTCCTCTATAGGTAAGATCTCTATATCTAGCTATTAAACAAAGGTAGTATGTTTTTCTGTAGATAAAGGCTTCGTAAGGCCGTCGGCTATTATTTCGGCCGACTTAACCTATTCGATTCGTAGTCGTTTAGCTTAGACTTCCTAGCGAATCTAAAGCTAGTGGATATTAATATAACGAAGTTTAGTCTGAAATATTGATTTCTTACGCGTAAGCAAATTAACTATCTACTAATTATTATATTCGATTATATCTAATTAGTCAGTTTCGAATTAGATAAAGGAAAAGAGGCGTTTAATTTAATAAAGCTACTTAGCTGCGTAGCTAATAGCTAGCAATTCGGCTTCTATAATTGATATAGTAATAGTCTTCTGCTTACGCGATTTCTATTTAATTAGGCCACTAAATAAGCAGAAGATAAATCCTTTAGAGCTCTTACGATTAGGATTGTTGTCAACATGTGGATGTGCAATACCCCGCACTAAGTGTGTTGATAAGCAATACACATCGGACCAATCGGATAAACACCCCAGTGCACGACTATAAGCAATACAGTCGGACCAATTATATCAACACCACAGAGCACGACTATACAATACGATGAAAGATATCAACTATCACATTATAACGCAAAGAACAACAAGTTTCCTAACACTCTTGTATGCCCCTATGTTATTCTGAGATTTTTATCAGTCTTTTTCTGTGACATTCTGCTATATACCTAAAGTTATAAATACTGCCTGTTTCCCTAGTCAAATTGAACAAGTTTGACACTATTTCCACTCACGAATAGAGCTCAAGGCAATTCTGATTAAACTGTGTTAACCTTCTACTGTTCAACCTGTTCGCTGCCAACCCACCTCTATTGCACTTTCGTCTCTCTTCTATAATCGTAGTATTCGATCGACCTGTGTACGCCTATAAGCATACTACACTAGGGTTTATACACACAGCCTAAGTCCGATAGTTATAAGCCTGATTGCCGCAGCCCTTTGCTAAAGCTTTCGGATATCTTACTTTACTCTCACTTTTATCTTACCTATCACTTTTGTCTTATAAGTGATAGATTTAACTAATCTACAAGCTACCTAGCTTAAATATCCACTGAAAAGCTACGTACACTAGACCTCCTAGATTACTGCTATACAAGACTATATAGTAGAAAACAGTATATAGCAATATACTAATCCTGATTAACCGCCTGCTACGCCGCCGCAGGAACCGATAAAGCTATAGATATCTAATATAGCTAGGCAGCTGTCTAATACCTTTATATCTAATAAACTATCCCCTATACGCCTAATTGATCTTACACTAAATTAAGTATCTATCTATAGAATCCTTCTTAACGAATACAATTCGTCTAGATCTAATTTTAAGCAATATATACGATTAATTCAGTCTCTTAAGTAAGGTATTTAATTATCTCTTATACCTAAGGGAAGAAAGATAATCAACAGCCTATTACTACGCGACGCAATTATATAGCTACGCGCTATATTCGCCTGATTAGACTAATCGAAGAATCGGTAAATCCTGCGTAATTAGGATAAAATTAAGCGCTAAGCACTACTATCTAAATCCTCTTAACTCACTATATAGGGCCAAAAGTGGATTATTTGTAAATTATAAGGAACTTAGGCTAATATCTCTTACTTCTAAGACCCTCTTGCTTTAGTCTACGACTTCCTAGAGGCTATTTAATTAAGCGATTAAGACTTCTATATATTCTAGTGCAATACAATCCTTTAGGGCTTATAGTAGCCTACACTTACTGAATTAGTTAATCTCTTTATTAAATAATATCGACTAATTGTACTATCTACACACAATAGGCGATAGATTACACACTAAACCTATTAGCGCAGAAATCCTAATAACGAATCGGAAGAAACACTAACGAAACTAGGCTGAAAGGGTAAGGGCACCTACTTATATAAGGGTCTACTAAGTAACGGCTATCACGATTTTGATTAATATAGCTATATTAACCCGCTAGTTAAGCTAAAGG